CGAAAAAATGTCAGTGAATTCAGTAATTCAGTCACATTCCCTTATTGTATCATGTGGAGCAAAATGTGGGGAAGGCTGGCTGTATTGATGATGAATTGCTGGATGAAGTGTGGCAACCGTGCCGCGTTGGGGACTTCTTTTCACTCGGGATGACTCAGGCTACGGCGGAGTAGGGGACTACTTACTACCACATGAATAAGCCGTAGTACTATCGAAATACTATATCGTGTGAATTTGCACTCGAGCACACAGTGACAGTCTCACTATGGGGCCAGTGTCTGGCTCTGAGGGTGGACTTTCTGGGGTGCATTCACATCGTGTTTGGGCCAGTGTGAAAGTTCAAGGGGAGATTTTTCACGTACAGCAGAGAGCGCAAGAGAGAGAGAGAGAGAGATGCGCTCTCAATAGGGGGTCTGGAAGACTTCACTAGAGACAATTTCCAGCGCTTCTGCGCCGTTGATAAACTCACTTTTCGCCCCCTGTGACTGGCTTTCCAGACTCTCCACAAGCCCGTGTTCAACACACTAGCGATACTGTATCCAACAGTTGTTGGTGGTGCGACTCGGTGGGTGTGTGCGTGAGTGAATTCATGGTGTGACTCCCCCTTCAATTTTCCACCCTTGAAAATTACACATTTTGTAGTACGAGATTTCCACTATGGCGCCATATTTGTCCTCTCTGCCGTGAACACACACGAGTCGTGAAGCTGAAAAATGGCCCAAAAATCCAATCAACACCCACTCAGCTGCCAGTGAAAAGCCGTCCGAGTGCCAAAATGTGTTCGCCAGCCACCCCTCGGTCTCGCGAGTGACTTTCCGTGCCGACAGGGCGAACCGCATGTGAAGAGAAATGCATCAAATGGATGCCCCGCGATGAAAAACGTCTCGCAGAGCTGAAGGGAAAGCTCCGTGAGCTTAAATGTGTGACAGTTCAAGTACTGGCTGCTTCTTCCTTCGGAGCAAAAAGGTAATCAGGCGAGGAGGAGTCGTCCTTTTTTGCAGCGCCCTCAGTCATCTCGAGTGGCTCGACATTGAGGGATGATGCTCGGTCGCACTCAATGGAGTTCCCCCGTCATTGGGGGGCGGCGGTGGTGGGATGTGTGTTTTGTACATCAGCCCCCGTGTCTTCTCATGCTGCCAATTCATGGTGGAAAATTACTGTTATTACCGCCAAGTCTGGGCCAAGGGATTTTCCCACCAGCCAGTGACAGTGTTAATCAATTTATTTCACTTTTTACATCGAATTATTTCCGAGGACGGATGATCAAAATTGCTGAAGTTTAAATGAGCCCCAAGCCACCTCATTATGCTGCCTAAATCATCCACTTAGGCAGAGAGAAGGCGCTATCAATTTTCCCGGCAACTTGACATATACTTCATCGCTAGACACTCCTAATCGCATTTGGGAGATTGTAAGCCACTCTGTGTGGTTATTTCAAAAGTCATTATAAAATCCAGAGATGTGACAAATGGGATAAAAATTTCACCACTTGGCCTGATGGTGTTTGTGGGAATTGCAAAAATGCAAACTATATAAAGAAAGCACTTTTAATTTATCCACAACATTTCCATCTCAATTAGCAAACAACGATGGAGGGCAACAACATTTAACTCTGGAGCCATTCACCATTGTTAATTTAAATAAATTATCTCTGGGCGATACTTTGTGAAATATTCGTTGAAATTAATTTCATGTGAAATTTATTTACTCAACTGTTCGCAGACAAACTGTGCGGTGTATTTACCGGATAGGGTACGAATGGCAGGAGTTTAACTCTCAAAGAGGATGTCTCAATTTCATATTATTTGGTTAGGAAACTTGTGTGTGTGTGTGTGATTCAACAAAGTTTACGATGAATTATTGCTGAATTTTATGACACAATGAGAATCGTGGGAGAAATAGTTTTCATCCATGATTTATTGATTCACATTCAGGGCCTATGAAGAGTTATTGTGGGCGGCGAATGAAGCTCTGTAAAACACATTAATTGAATTACTTCTCGCAATTAACCTGTGCAAACGATGGCTTTCCGGCAGTCGCAGAAAGAGTGGCAGCACTTTTGGGGTTCTGAATTGGGCAAGAAAGTAAATAAGACGAAGTCAACATTGAAGAAATTGTATCTCGGAAAGCTTAAGTGGGGTTTTGCTTTTAACTTCCTCATGTACTTTCCAATTTCCCACTCTCGTTCCATTTGAGTCAATTAAAGGGAATTTCATATTTGCTCAAAGTGGAAAGCGCAGATGAGTCTATCAGTCGAAACTGTTGACACAATTTGACAAGGCTCATCTTGCCCACTTTAGACGGCCGGAGATGCGTCGAATGCGGTGGAAATGGAGCACTTCATGTCATCCCCAGTCACTCGACAATGAATTAAATTTATCACTCAATTAGATTTTTGAGTGCAGTGAAAATTGCTGTTGACAAACATCCTCTCTGGCTGTGTTGAAAGCTGTTCAGACGGAAAAGTGTACGCAACCCCTTTTCCATCCACTGCATTGAACTCTCCACTAGAGCGTGAATTTTCGCTGTGCTTCTTCGTCCGGAGATGTGTTTGAAGCTGAAAATGCTTCACATCCCCTCTTTTGGGCACATTCGTTACCATTTTCGAACTGATTCAAGGCGAGAAGAGATTTGACAGGGAAGCCGTACATCACATTATGATTTCAAGTCTCAATTTCACAGGGTGGAATGTGTATTTCGTGGTGAAATATTTGCAGGAAAAAGGCGGTTTTAATTGTGAATCAACCCTTGTGAAGACAATAGATTCTGTGTACACCTCAGTAATCAATTGTGTTGTCCTTGCCTTGACCACAATTCAGTGTGTATTCAAATGAAAGACGAAAATCTGATTAGGACTACACAGAAGGTTGTTTTTGTTATTCCCCAGAAAGAGCTGAACACATTCTTTGAAAGGGCATTCTTTCGTAACTCTCACCATGAGCTCTCAACAAATTTTCCCTTTTTAATACCACGCCAGTGCCAGGAACGCCAGGAACTTTTCTAATGAGCTTTCTCTGCGCTGCGCGTTTGGCTTTTTTGTCTCCCGCCCGGAAAACTTCTCCTCAAAGACACGCTTGTGAATATATTTTCATCATTTCTAATTAGAGAATCTCCTGTGATGTCTCTGTTCTGGTTGGTGGGCCATGTTGACTTCTCATCTCCAGCGTCAGAGTCAAAAGGATGGGTAATCGCTTCACTGAGGTTTTCCATGGGCCAGGAGAAAAAAATAGCGATATGAAGGTGGGAAACGCCGAAAATTTACCAGCAATATCAATATGTACAGAATGTGCGTGTATAAAAAGGGGGGACAGAGGGAGTATTTTGATTAAACAGACCACGAAGGTATTGGAGACGAGATCATGACGAGGGTGAGGATATCAAACGCTAATGGGGAGCTTATGAAAGTCACCCACGCATCATTTTGACTTCCGGCTCTCGCTGAATTTTCCAGTTAACCTTCGCAAAACCACCCGAGCAATAGATACATGTACACATAGCATCATAAATATTAAAATGTGTTTAGATAAAAAAAAAAACCGTCTGTTGGTTTTCACTAAAATACATTCACTGCTCAACCGTGCCAAAATGCTTTACACACATTCCAAATTATACCATTACCACGAAGTAAAAGCAAATTGTACGAAAATATTATATGTACTTCCCTCTCCTTTGCCTGCCACACTTCCATGGAGTTTTCACGCATCTTTTTCCGCACGAGATGCAGAAGATGGGCGATGGGAAACGCCACCAACAAAAGAACTGTACCAGAGGCAAAAATTTCTAACTGAGCAATTTCCGAGCATTTTTCGCCACGTACAAAAAAAAACGCGCACCTTCCTCTCTTCTGTGGACGCGATAAAAAAGAGTTGATTGTGCGATATTACAATGAATTTGCTTTTTAGCATGATTTATACACACAGTAGCTAATTTATGGGAAATTTATTCTTTCCCGTAGCAAATCTCTGCCAAATATATGTTGAACCACCAAGTTTTTGTGACACTTTCAAGGCAGTATACTGATATATATATATATGCATTGATATATAAGGGAAATTTCACAAAAATTGTAAGGGATATTGTGTGTTTAAGAAATTTGTGGAAATTGGGTTTTGCCTGGGAATTTACATATTTCTTGCGATGTGAAAATGGCGAACAGATTGCATGCTTTACATACAATTTCCCACGCACATCTTCCGAAAATCTCGTCCCACGTTAAGAAAGCAATTATGACCTTTAACATCGAATGTGGTAATTCGTGTAACTTGTGTTGGCGGATTTGGGAGTGAGAGATAACACTATGTGTACAGTAAACAATATGTTGATAATAATGTCTCATTTTTCCACGAATTATCATCACCTTTTCACACTAATACACTATATCATTTCATTTATCCTTTAATGCACGCTCTGAATTGCATTGCATCATATTAAACATAACACCTAAAGTAACAAAGACTGGGGGATTTAGTTAAATTTCAGCCTTGTGATATTCGGAATTATTATTCATTGTTGTTCATCTGTAATTTTCACGCCCTCACATCGCCAGAATTAACATCAGCAAATCCGGCTGGGTGACGGCGTGCAAAGTGCAGAGGGTTGCATTTAAATTTACACTATGACACGTTGTGAAATTCTGCAACTGTTGTGGGTGTATCACTCGGGGAAAATTGAATTTTAATTAAAACGAGGGAAAAATACGTCTGAAGTTTCAGATATGCAATTTGGAGGCGGTTTAAGGGTGTGTCACAGAAGATATGAATTTATTTCCTCATCAGATTTCCTTATGCCCTTTCTTATTATGAGAAGCGAGAGGAAATGAAAATAAATTAAATAGAAGCACCACCAGAGATTAAATGCAAATGGAAAGTCTCTTGGTTATAGTTTCTCCTTATAACCTGGGATCCTAATTGAATAATGAATTTTGCATAGGGAATTAGCGAAAGGGGATTTGCATTTGCCCAGAATGATTACTGTATTGGATTGTCTTGTGATTATTGCAGGAAAATGGAAGATCTGTGCCTGACCTCACTGCCAGTCCGGGCCGAGCTCCGCCTGGACCAATGCCAAGCAACCAAGGGCCCATCATCTCGCAACAGCGGCAGGGCGTCAAGGAGCCCGTCCTCCTGCAGGGTGACTTCCGGAAGGTCTCTGGCATCAGCTCCGAGATTTTCCGGCAAATTGAGGCCGTGGAGAATGACCATGACCCGAGCACAGCGGCCGCCCTCGAGGTAAGGAGTGCAGTATAATTGAGGATTATCCTCTGCATGTCTCGTCCACGTGACTAAATTGGGTATTAGCTGCCACTTTCCCAATTCTCACCTGCTCCGCAGCTCAGGTGGGAAGCCCTGGCTGAAATATTGCGATAATCTCCACCCCACAGCACTCAAGATTGTACCTCATGCATGAGACCCGAAGCAGTGGCATGGGAAGTACAGACAGAGGAGCGAATGTTTAATTCTTTTCAGACATGCCATGTCTGAGCTTTTATAAGTTTGTTCACACAAAAGCCCCCCGAAGAAGTTGGGCGAGATGATATCTCCTCTAAATGTATTAAATGTTCCTTGTACTCCACTAAATGCTCATTCTCTGTGAGGCGGAGGGCATTTATTGACTCCACACATATGAAATGTTTTCTTTGTTTTCGTGATGTCCTTCTGGAGTCCTTTCGCCCAGCGTCTCATACTCAAATACTGGGACTTTCTTACTCTGCAAACAGCACGTGTTCTCCAGTCTTGTAACTCGGATGTCGCATCAAATGAGGCTTGGCAATGTTTATGAAGAGATAAAACCATTACAGAATTTATGGTTCTGTGAATTAAAGATGCGGAATTCATATTGGCAAATTCACGGAGATTCTGCAAGAAAGCTCAACTTAATACGGAAGAATAACAGTTGGCAGTGTCTCCATAGTATTATTTCCGTATCTACACTTGCGGATTGCCTGAAGATATGGAATTTGTTTGTGAAATTTGAGAATAGAGTTTTTACTCCAATCTCATAAACTAATATCCCAAGCAACCATGACAAGATTTATATGCGGTCTCTGTAGATTTCATAGCACTTTGTACTTGTTTACGATTCACATCTTCATTCTTTGTAAAAGAAAAGTATGAAATTCCTCCATGAGCTGCTTTAATAAATAGGAAATTTTGCAATTGTCACGATTTGCAAGCGCTATATTGGCATTTTCAATATTGCACACATGTCAAATATGATAAATCCTCGTGCAAAGCAGAGATGCCAACTCATATATAATACCTCTGCTTAGCGATATATGCAAATATTGAACATGCAATGAATTGTGAGTGTTATACCGCGAGAAAACCTTAGACGCGAGAGCTGCACCGCCTTTTCTTCGCTTCACGAGATTATTGCCGACAAAGGATATTCCATGGGAATTTATTGGGAGAATTGAGACTTCCAGCAATTCGTTTGATGAGAGGTTCAAAAAGATCCTTTCCAGCGCAGAGGCGCGCTTCGAAATTGAATAACAACTTACCTCAGCGAGTCTCCATTGCAATTTAATAAGCCTTCTCACATGACTAGTCAGGTAATTCAATAATTTTGCTCCTCTTGTGTGTGGTTTTTATTATTTGTTTCGAGAGGAATTTTTCCCTGACGTGGCTCTATAGTTGGGTCGTCGCACAAGGTTTAAAGATATATCAATTGAAAGTGCAATTTACGATCCGTGGACGATGCTTCGAAGCCACCGCTCAACCACCACTATTTCGCTGATGTTATTAAACTTCTCTGTGCTGTATTATCTGCCACGAAAAGGGTCAAATGGTAAAATTAAACACCGTGAAGAGGTTTAAGTGGAACTCACATAACAATACCAACAATAACTTAGCTTTATTGCATTGAAATATAACTGCCAAGGTGCGAGAATGCGGGAAGGGAAGGTGCTGAAGAATAGCAAAGTCCCTGGATCTCGAGCGGTTGTGTACGGGTGGATAAAATGATAAATAACACCCCATTTTGCCGATCAACGACGCAAATATAGGGCGAATTCGCACATAGAGGGCTTTTATGTACCAGAAAGGCACACACCGCGCCGTACAATAACTTCCATGTATGATTTGGGCGAGGAGAAAAATGTGGGGAATTTTCTCTATTTGCCGACATGATTGTTGGATGAAGTGGAGCAGCGGCGGGGGTGAAAATAAATAAATTGCGATGGGAGGAAAATCACGATGACACAAAGTTTCTTATATAGCAGAGAGAGAGGCAGTATTTATGTGCAAGGAGCTTTCCCAATATATTGTCGAAGCTTTCTTTTTATCAGCTTTTCTTTCAATCAGAGTTGCCAGTGAGATAACGCAAAATTTATATAGATGGGATATATATTTAATGAGCTTTCTGTTGACATGCTCCACAGAGAGGTAAATACAATACAAGTGTTCTTTTCTCAACAGAGGCTTTTATGTGATAAAAGCAAGTTTGAAGGTAGATTTGGAAGTTATTACGGAGAAATTCAAACAACTTTTGTGAGTGAAAAATATGAGAAATGCTGAAGTATTCATTTTATAGACACGAATGAGTAGAACGATATATTTGACTCCGCGAAAAGTTTTCAATTGCTCATTATAGTTCGCTATGTGCATTTGAATTGTGTTTAAATATTCCTATTGAAATGAGATTTTTATATTACGAAAATGAGGAATGATTCACAATTTGCTATTGACTTTGGCTTTTAGCCTTCTTTCTGTCAACTCTGTGCTTTTTTACTACACAAATTCAGGGGATAAACCGTGAATATTTTCTCCTTTATTGAATGATCCGCTTGAGAGTGTTGAGAATGAAGTGGAAAGTGTTAAGATGGAATTTTCAGCATATTGTGAGAATCTTCCCATGTCACTTATATGTATTTAAAATGTCGAGAATATGAGACAGATTCTCTCTTGTGTGTCCACCATTTTTGTTCACTCGCTCTCTCTTAGATACAAATCACCCGATGTCCCCCAAGATATCGCTGTGGTGAGAGACAAATTCCCGAAATTCTTCACAGTTTATAAGACACTCTGATGGAGGTGATTTTCTCCCCATGACTGACCATCAATAGTGGCAAAGAGTGGGCTCTAAGTTATTTTTCTTGCCATCTGAAGTTATCTTGATACAAAATCTGCCTCCGCTTTTTGGGATATGCGCCACGCCGCCATTCAGAGAGCAAAAAAGGGAGGACCAGGGAAAATCCTTACATGGCATTTGCTCTCAATTACGCTGAAGAGGAAATATGTACCAGCAAAAAACCATGTTATTTACATGAGATAGAATGGCAGCAAGAAAGATTGTCAAATTTCTTTTTCTATATGGAGATGCTGAGCACCTATTATGGGACATTAAGTACCTTAACTGAAAGTTCCTGTGGTTTTTCACCACAACACAACATATTTACCTTACGGGCAGATGAATCCACCTCCTCAACCCAGTCATCCACTGAATTTTCCAGAGGATGGGACACTCAGCTACATATACTCTTGCCTGGTGGTAAAGTGGGTAAGTGAATTTAAATGGAAAATGCAGAGGTTTTTCTCCAGATTAAATTTCAAAGGAGATTTTCTCCGCTTTACCTCTCAACATCACCCAAGACTCATGAATTTTCACACAATATTACGAATTGCATTGTCTACAGCCTGAGTGAATCTCAGTTTTTCTCCATTACAATCGTTTTTTGTTGCAAAAGAGATAGAATTGAGCAAAGGAGAGGAATGCAAAGCATCTGGACTGATCCACTGTGCATCTCTCTGGCATTCACTTCTTTTCGTGCACGGGAAAGAGCACAAGTGTTTTTCGGTTTGAAAATGTACAGAGGTTTTACAATGAATTTATTTTATCTTGTCTCTCCTTCCTTCCCCTTCCCCAAAAATTAACCCTTAAGCGTTGCGAATGAAAAATGTTTGTAATACTTTTATGACTCCTTTTCCAGTGTCTTGAAACCTTTACTTCATGAATATTTCACCATCATGAGATTTTCCTTCATCTTCTCGCTCATTTGCCTGTCGGTGAAATTGAAAGCAAAGAATAATAATCATGAAAATTTAATGTATGAAACAAGAATACAATCTCTTTTTCATTACCTCACCTTCCGACTCTTCCCATACCTTCCAATTGAGGAAGGGAATTGTATGGGAATTATCCGATGTTTGAGAAGCACGAATTTTCCACCACACGAGCGTCTCTAGTCGTTGTGAAAATCCAATAAACAGGACATAAACTCCGTCAATTTGCTGAAGAAATTCAAGTTTTTCACGTGATATGGCTATGCTTCTGTTGTGGACGCCAATTTTGTGGGAATTCTTGCGGCAAAATACTCATATTTGAAGAAAATTAATGGCATCGTCACTAACCTGTTTGAATTTGAGCATGTTACAACTGAGAAAGACATTTCTGTGCAAATTTCTTAATCGCGCGCGTCAGTTTTGATATTCAAACTTTGTGTATATATTTTGCAAGGCCACTTTAAAAAGTAAAACGTTTTCTGCTCTTCATTCACTCTATTTCGTCATTTGGTAGAGAGAAGAATTTCTTGTGGAGGATTTTTTCTTAAGAATGTTATCAAAAGCTTATCATCAACATCTGTGTTCCCCCCAGTGAATACACTTACTGTATAACCAACTAATAAGTTGATGATTAGACCTATAATACAGAAGAATTGGAAGTTTATGCGGAAAATCCACGGCACATCCTCATTAGAATCCTCCTTTGTTAACGATACACGCGATGCATTGTGAAGACTTGAGCTGTTCATGAAATTGCATCCATCAGTGCGAAGGGGAAGAGGAGTATCAGGCTTCTTGTTGAGACCCCCAATGATGAGGACTCCAATCACTGCCATCGATACGATAACTCCACACTTGGCTCCCTGAAATCATGAGATTCAGCCATAGATTAACGTGTTTTCTATGCTAATTTTCACTCACTCTACAGTTGATTTTGGGAAAGATCATTCCACTGCTGAAGAGTCCAAACACTCCAACAGTTGAGATCGTGAAGCATTGCACAGTGATGGAGAAAATAGTTCCCAATCTCTCAATGAGGAACATAAGAGCAATTCCTCCAACACCCACGATAGCCACTAAGATCTTCATAACTCTGCCGGTGGTTCTTTCAGACACATTCTTCATTCGCGAACTCAGGAAATCCACGTAAATTGTTCCACTCATGGTATTCAAGAGAGTGGAAGTTGTTGAGAGTCCAGCGGCAAAGACACCGGCAATAAATATTCCATTGAATCCTGTGAAAGCTGAAGCTTTCTCCTGCACAAACAGTGGGAATATCTGATCAATCTTCTTCACTATTCCAGCTGTGAGAGGGTCACAACTTTCATAAGTGGTGTAAATAATAGATCCAATTACGAATTGAATAAGTAGAATGAATATGCTAAAAATTATTTGCAGCCAAAGAGCCTTTTTCGCTTTGGTCAATGTCGGCAAGGACAAGTATCGCTGAATTCCGCTCTGACTGAGACTGAATTGGTAGCATAAGATGAACACACTGCTGAATAAATATGCCCACATTGATCCTCTGATTTCCAGACTGAGGTCAGTTCTATGGAAGAATGAAGGAAATTGTAGTAAAATCAAGAAGTGCTCGTTAGAGATGATATTTTGTGGTGTTCTTACTTAAAAAATGTGAGCCTTTTTCCGCGATCGAGAGCTTCCCAGACTTTTCGGAATCCTCCTACACTGGAGAGTCCGACAATCATGATCACGATTGCTGAGGTGATGATGAGAATGAACTGGAAAACATCAGTCCACACGACGGTTTTGTAGCCGCCAATAGCTGTATACCAGATACAGAGGAAACCCGTGACCACGGATATTGCGTAGAGATTGATACCAGTGACCTCTTGGAAGGCTAAAGCGGGTACATAAAGAGTCAGGGGAATGACGAAGAATCCCGTGATGACGTAGAGAATGCTGGCTATATACTTGACACTTTTATCGAACCGCATTTCAAGATACGCGAAACTAGACATAAGTTGGAGGTCGTAAAATACTGGAAGGAATACGAAATGAACTAGAAGTCCCCATAACACAGAGGCTATCACAAACATCCAATTGTGGAGTCCGAATCCATAGACTTCCATGCTTTGGCCAATTGTTGATGATCCAGTGACTGTGGTTGCAATTAGAGACAGAGAAACTGGCACAACACCGAGTTTCCGCCCACCGAATAGATATTCATCCAGTGATTGTCCCTTCTTCAATCTCAAGGCATACACGAGTCCTATCCCGAGGGACACGACAAACACAATTGCGAAGAAGACGTAGTCGAGAATCGAAAAATGCGTCTCAACAGACATGCTGGCACTCGCGACTTATCAGACAGATGGAAATATTGCAACTGAAATCCACCACACAATTCACGGTTGTTCTGACACAACAAAAGTCTGCTGGCCTGGAAGATTTACATACTTACAAATCTACTCCATGAGCTCATTATTATCCCCTTGTTTTTGTTTTTGTTTAACATCAAATAAGCAAAACGAGAGAGAAAATGAAACCGGGTTTTTTATTTATAGTATGTCCAAACATTCATATTAATAAATTACTATTTTTATTGCAACATTTTCAATAGTATAGATATTATTTATTGTTTCCGTGGATATTGCATAACTCATGATTGTGGAACAATTTTAAAATTGCCCTATTGAGTTTTTCATGGAAAAAAGGTTAATAGATGTACAGTCAAAACAACGAGTCAAGTACAAGCATTAGACAATTACAATTACTTCCTTTAGTTAATAGTGGTGGGTTTGTGATATGGTTAATATACGCACTGTAGTTTTTATTAATCAGTCGTAATCAACACACAATTGCAGAGAGAAAAACTTTCTGGAAAAATACTAAATTATTTTCCATGCTCGACAACGCAATGCTTCGTATTGATAGATGATGATGGGCATTACTGCCTGTCATTGGGACTTATAGGATGAGAAAAAAATGAAATTGGCAAATTAATTGAGGAAGATGAAATTGCTGAGCATGAAAAGGGCGATTTGTGGAGAAGAAAATAATTCACCAAATACCACTCAAAGGATATCAGGGAGGATTCTTGCGTGTATTTCTCAAATATTTACCTATCCTATTTGCTACCTTTATTAATTATTCCGATACTTTTATCTCTCCTGGCCAACTTATGGGAATCCCCTTGTGAGAATTGTGGGCAGAACAATATATCTTTATTGAGACAATGTGGAAATGGGACAAATCGAATGAATGGTGATGACTATTTGGATAAATTGCACAATCGTGACAATATGAAGGGTGGAAAATCATGCTGTATCACCGAGGGTTGGGAGACACCATGGATATATTTATTGAAAACATCTTGAGAAGCGTCACAATTGAAGATAGACTATGTGTGTGTGTGCCAAATACCCTTTTGTGGAAGATGTTGATTGAATTTTCTTTCCATTTATTCACACGATTTTCAATGGCGCACACACACTCCATATCCTTTCAGCTCTGCGAATCCAAATAGAGCTCCGAACTGACCCCGAACTATTGTATGGGGTTAATTTGTGGGTTTAACATTACACCGCCTAGTTTCACACCCTCGATAAGTACACCGAAGAATGTTTTCTCATGGCGCCCTTCTGCTTGTGGCCAATATAATTCAGCACATCGTCCAGGAAACGTCAAAATTCCTCGGCTCTCACGGAACGTGATTTTCCAGCAATGGAAATTTCACAATCTTCAGGCGCCTATATTTGCAAATTGCTATTGGAAATTCTCGGCGAGTTTTCGTGGTTTGAGTTCAATTAATTGTCGATTTTACACCAACAGATAATGGTGATTTGACGCATTCATTGGAAAATTTACAGATTTTCGTCAGATGACTTGAGGAAATTCATCATTTTCGATCAATTGAACCAATCAAGTGGGTGTTTTGTTAAGATGCTTTGAGAAATTTTATGTGTAAATGAACTCAACTTGACGAGACGTTTACACAAGGAGTGACAAATAGCGCTAATATCTTGTAGATGAATGTATATCGTGGATTGACGGAGTCACTCAATTTCGCGCCGCTGCCATTTCACTTTCAGTCCCGATGGAGCGTGACAGAGCGAGTCAAAGACTCCTCCTAACTGTGCCAATTCCACCAAGAGATAAGGCACATTTCTCTCCCTCTGCAAATATCTCTGTGGCTTATGAGGAATTTCTCTTTGATTTTTGCAGGCGGTCGAGAGAAGGGGTGAAATGATTGTGCGAATTCTGGAGCCGCGATGCATCGGCGGTCGCATGGCAGTCGAGGCGGCGCAGAAACTAATGACAAAGGGCGATGCTAGGCACACGGTTCAGGTAAGAGCTCAATTATAGGCTGGCAGGTTTTTCCAACATTACACTTCTGCCGCCGCCGTCGCCGCCCCACGACCGAAAATTGCTACTTTCCACAGGAGGTTGTAAATCAATTTTGCAGAGTAAACATACCCCGAGTCAATAATTAAGATATTAGCATCAGGAAGTGAAGACCTTTTCGACATCACGGAGGCTCGGAGGAAATTTTAAATTGGGGGCTTCGGTTTTTCTAATGATCCTAATTTCAAAGTTTGCGGATGTTGGAATTTTGCGGGGGTTTTCGAAGCGAAGTGCAAGTTCAAATGTATCACGCGAAGTTATATTATTTATTTGCTCTTGTAAATTAATTTTTTATTCAAAGGGTAGAGTTAGAGTTGTTTTTTTCATTTTAATTAAAAAGGAGTTTTTAATGGAATTATATTCAGTTGTTCTCTCTGCTTTTCTGCAGTTGGTGGAAATTGTCAAACGACCCGGTCAAACTCTCGGTCTGTACATCCGCGAGGGAAATGGAGCTGATCGATCTGATGGTGTTTTCATATCACGAATCGCTCTGGAGTCGGCAGTTTACAACAGCGGTTGTCTCAGAGTAAGTGAAAATCTCTTGTCCTTTCATCCACTTTTCAATCTTCCCCTCCAAATGGTGTGAAAATTCAATTTTTCCTGGCCAAATAGATATTTGAACATTTTCAAGGGGTGCCAAAATTTAATCATCAATGCATGATGGCTCTGAAGACCAAACAAGAAACAATGGCATATATAATTCATGTAGAAAAGAACGACAAAATTGAATGATTAACTCCAAAGTTTTCATCACATTAACTTGACTGATGACAAAAGGAGACTTTAAGCTTATTTCCCATGAGATGCACTGTGCACTGACGAGAAGAACGTGCTCAGGTGATGCTTAAATAAGTCAGTCACCTCGAAATATTGCACTCTATGGCACGAATTTTGCCACAACCGTGTGAAATATATGACGCTGGTGAATGACAATAATGTTGAACTTCAAAGTTAGAAAATGAGTTGAATGAGTTTAAGAAGAGCTTTCTATTTCATAGACATTTCATATATAATTCGACTCTTCAGGCAACATTATGACGGCATTAACTTACGCTTGCTTTATTCCATCACTTGCAAAAACTCACTCCATTCATTTCAAGGGTTATGAGGAGTTTTACACTCATTATAATGTAATTAATTTTGAAATAACGTCGCGCTGGGGGTGGAAAAAGTTGTCTTAATAACCACTAAAATGGGTGAAAGCTATCACAAGGAATAGTCCATGTATATTTCTTCACTCACCACATGAATTATGTACATAATGTTTATGAATAGGGGTTGAAAAGTTCACAGGCCGAGCAAGGGAACGATGGGGATGGGAAAATTCGCGATAGACATGAGAAATTTGAATGAGTTATTATACTCAAAAGCACCAACGCTCGCTTTGAAATGCATATGAAATAATAAATTAAGAGCTTTATTTATTTTCTTACTTGATTTCATATTTTATTCGTAATTCTTCTACCCAAATCAAATACAAAACAATATGGATTCGAAGTAGAAAACATTACAGAAGAATTTGAAGCCCAAGAAATGCATAGTAATTGTATAGTGAGGTTATTTATAACACAAAACTGCAAAATAATAGAGAGTTTTTCCCCTTGCTTTTCCACCCTCGTCTCTGACCTCTCGAAGGTGAATCGAATGAGTGGTGAAAATTGCTATTTATCGAAGACAATGGAAGACTCTTGAGGTTGAATAGAAAATTTCTGCTCCTTCACAGCAATTGAGATATACTTCATTTACACAATTCCCTACCATTCTTTTGAATCCCGCGCGTCTCAGCATGAAAATCCTTCTCATTTGCCAGCGAATGACTCTAGGAGTGTTATTGGGAAGTGGATGGAAAAATATTCGTCTTCCACGGGTGGAATTTGCGTGGGTGGAAAGAGTGAGAGAGAGAGACGAGGAAAAAAGTTATGAGTGATTAGGAGCAATCTAGTGGGGATTTTTGGGTGGAATTCACAAAAATTGCCAAGGAGGATGGTACTTGAGTCAGGTATTTAAGCTCAAACGGAAACTTTGGCTCCCCCCAGTCGGGACTCTTCCATTGCGTCCTTCATCCTGGTGTTCTTCACCGTAATTCCACATCATTCTTTCTCGACTGGTGCGCCTCTTGTGAGTGTGCTCTTCCTTTTTTCCACCACCGTGTTGGTATGTTGTGAGCGTTGTGAGGCTTGAAAGAAGCGATAAAAGTCTCAGCGATGGTGGAAGTTGAATTTAGCGGCCCATAAATGCCACCATTGGTGGCATGGAAAGCTTCAAGTGTTAGAGAATACTGAAGTGGTTTGAGTAATTTTGATGAATTATTAGCGAGCTATCAAAAATCATGGCATTTGATGAGTTCAGTCAGAGCTTTTAAGGGGCGCCTGTCCTCCCTGTTGTCTGCTGGTCCTTAGTCAATGCCTGTGTCTACTTCGAAGGTTGGCGACGAAATCCTGGCAGTCAATTTGGTGGACGTGACTCGAATGTCTCTGGACGATGTTGTCATTATCATGTCGATTCCGCGGCGACTGGTCTTGGCCATCAGACAGCGACGAGGCGGCAGAGGCGCCAACTCCCCGGGGCCCCCATCGCTCACGAGGCCCGAGCAGAAGCCGCCGCCTGTGGTGGTGATCAAGAGGGACTTGCGCGAGGAGGACTTGGACATGATGGAGCAGGACAGACCATCTCGATCGAGGTCATCGCGTGAGAGACGCACAGGTGAGATTGACCAAGCTTCTTCTGCCACACGGAATAAACCCTTTTCGTTGGCTCCTGAATTGCAGGCGATGGCAGAGAAATGACGGAGTCTCGCTCGAGACTGGGTCTCGGTCTGAACAACTACAGCCCTCAGAGTGAGCAGCTGGATTTGTACTACAACAGTCGACCAAGTGCACAAAGCGAGCCACCCAGCTGGGGCTACAAGCCCCCGCCCCCACCCTCTGTCATCACCGAACAACCCAAAGGTGCCCACCAGTTCACCCCATCCCATGCTTACTACCAGAACGCCGGCACACTCGAGAGTCTCGCCGAGAAAGTTCACGCTTTCTATCCCAGCGATGCTTATGGTAAGTGCATTCCATAATCAGCCCAACTTTGTCTAACGAGACATCTGTTGTGTTCGCTTAGGTCCCAGTCGACGTATGTCAGCGGGCGGCATAGGATCCAGCCAGTCCCACCAGAGATTCCCTAGAAGTGGCTCCGATCAGCATCTTCCGCGTGTTGAGTATTCAGATTTCTCGTCACTTGGACGTCATTCTCTGCTGCGCTCTAGTCTGAAAACAGGTAGCGAAGTGACTCTGGCACAGATTATTCTTTGCAACATTCCTCTGCATCATTCTGTAAAGTTTCCACCTTTGCGCCACTGGTCTTTGTGTGTAGTCTATTTCATTACATTCCATATTTGCCCCTCTATATACCTTAATCACGTATCGTAGTCAGTATCATGTAATTTGCTTCGTGTGTCAGGTTATTAAGGTTGGAAAATTCTCATTAACTTTTTTCTCCCTCTAGACGAGGTTCTCCACCACCAACAGGGTATTATTATATTTGTATTCTATCCCAATTAATTGAGTTTACCAGACTTATTGCAAATCCCATGCTAAGAGTTGACGATGTGCGCGGGACGAAGGGGGGGATGGGGGGAGGCAGTTCCCACGATTTGTATAATGGGGAATATTCAAATGATGTAATAATGGGGTGGAAATGTGCTCCGCCCCACAGTCAAGTACATGTGTAGTCTAGTCAAACTTGGTGAATTTTCTCCTTTTTAATTTTCTATAATGACACCTTGTCAGAGTTGGATGGTTGAAGAGTTCTTCAAACTTTTCTCAGCACCATCTTACAGGAGTTATTCCATTGATTTTCCCTGAGTTCGCCGGGACAGAGGGGTGGGGGAAGGTGGAAATTATAATACTTATCGCTTGAAGAGTTCTGGAAATCCGAGGAGCGCGAGTTTAATTTAACATGGATTTATGAAATTGTAAAAATCTCCATGAAATACATGACGTGAATATCTTGTTCAAAGGTACCCCCACGGGAGGAGGAACTCTTGGTCGCTATGGTCGCTACGAACCACCGTCTCGCACGCCCAAGTACGGGGTCACCCCATCTTCCACCCTGGCGCGGCGAGCCCGCCCCACGCTCGACTACTCCAGCGACACAGAGGCCACCATCGGGCCTAGGCCTAGCTACTACTACTACAACCGACCCGCCCTGCCCAGCCTCGTGAGCTCAGGTAGAGCTAGTGTGGCTGGCATGGGTCCTGACCTGGGCAAATTCAATTCGCTGCCGCGCGAGCGTCCCAGCGCCGCTCGCCTGGGCCTCAGGAGTCGCTTGGGAGATCGCCTGCTCGACGAGGGTGACGGAAACTGGTCCGGACCCGAATTGCCGCCCCGGGATCGCGTTGCCGGTGAGTTTACCTAGGTCAAATGGCACTTATGCCTGCCCTCTGAATCGCAGTTCTCCTTCCAGAGCTCCGCTCGCGCTTGGCAGCCAGTCCGTCTATCTTCACCTCGGACGAGTACCGAGCGTGGCTGAGACGGGCGCCCAGCAGTTCCGCCATCAGCGAGCAAATGAGGGTGTCGCGCGGCCTCCTCGGACAGCACGTGGGCCGCTTCTCTTGCAGTGCCGAGAACATTCATGATGCACTCAAGAACGTAAGTCACACTGAAGAGTCCCGAAGCGTTGTGGCAGAAGTAATTAGGGCGAGGGGTGAATTGGCGGGTGGGAAAAGTTCAGCTGAAATGACTTTGTAAAACTTTTACGACTAGCTCAACTGTGGCGATTCTCCTGCTTGGCTTTTTTTCTCGCAGTTGCTCGCAATGTACATTTTGCTGAGTATATTTTGCTAGAGTTGCAAGAGAATAGATAATGAAGTCCTTTTAGTCGCGTAATTTGAAAAGGGGTATTTGAATTTCGAGGGAAAGTGCTGATTCATTGCTTTTTTATGCAAAAAGTCTCTAATTGATGCTGAGACGAGATTAAGGACTTTCGGTCTTGTAATTGAAGTATTGTTTCTATATGAGGTACAATAATGATAAATGCGACAGTCTTGGAATTTCCATTTGTACCTGGCTTATTTGAATCGTAAGACTATATCTCTGGTCACTTGATCTTAATTGAAGTCAGTAACCCAAAACCGTAAACTCAATTCCTATGCTATTGACTTTAGGATTGGCAAGTATCACATAGGGAAACACTCTTGACAACAGCTCTGTTGTCTCTCATTTATCTATTCTACGACTGATATAGAACTCATCTTTTCTCTCCGACACGACAAAGTTTATCGTTCACCCCACACTTTAGCCACAATGCAGAAACTCGCTTCTCATGTTTCTTATTGTTTGCCTGCAAAGTCATTGTCTCCTCTATACTTTCCTACACACAGACTGAGAGCATCTACAGCTCCAGGACGGGCACTCTGAGCTCCACTCTGGATCGCCACTTGGGTCCGAGGGGAGCCCTGGCCGGGGTTCCCGTGAGGTCTCTGTCGTCGCAGCATCTGGGCGCGCCGTCCAGCATCCGGTCGCCCAGCATGCGACGCATGAGGCAGCTGCTGGAGTTGAGTAGTGGCCCGGGCAGTCCGGCTGGCAGCAGCATCAGTGGTCACCAGAGTCCGGCGCCCACGCCAAGTGCCACACTTCCCAGACCCCAGCGTCAGATCGACATAAATCCGGCTGAGTTTGTCAAGTACAAACTTGAGAAGCCTGTGGTGGACGTTAGTGGGATTTCCGGGATGCTGTGGATCCACTTGCTGGCTGGCCGTGGACTCAGAGCCACGCCCGAGGGCACTCAAACTCCCCAACCCGCCGTGCGCGATCTCTACTGCGTGCTGGAGTGCGACCGCGTGCACAAAGCCAGGACCGTGGTGAGGTCCGGAGATCTGCAGTTCGACTGGGATGAGTCCTTCGAGTTAGATCTCGTCTGCAACCGACAGCTGGACGTGCTGGTGTACTCCTGGGATCCCCAGCATCGGCACAAGCTCTGCTATCGCGGCGCCGTGTCTCTGGCCACGATTCTCAGGCAGTCTCCGCTGCATCAGCTGGCGCTGAAGGTGGAGCCGCGAGGGACGATATACTTGAGGGTGCGGCACACTGATCCCTCAACTCTCTACCGCCGCCGCGGACTGCCCAGCCTTCGGGCGGGCTATCCGCAGCTCTTTGGGGCAGATCTGGAGACGGTAGTGACGCGGGAGGCGAAGGGGGCGCCCGGCAGTGCGCCCGTTCCTATTGTCCTGCGCCGTTGTGTGGAGGAAGTGGAGCGCCGGGGACTGGACATCATCGGTCTCTACCGCTTGTGTGGTTCAGCCACGAAGAAAAGGCTTTTGAGGTGAGTGTGTAATTAGGTGAACAAATAACTTCATATCTGAATCCCTGGGAATCCTTTTTTAGGAATGTGCTCAGAAATTATTGAGAAGATGAATTTTCCAATTTTATTGATCTTCTGCATTGAAAATGAAGAATGGCAATATTGAGTGTATTAGCGAGAACTCTTGAATGGTTTTCTCGTGTTTGTTGAAATGAAAGTTCCAGTGAAATCTAAAATATTCATGAATTGCCTTCAATGAAAGCGGAAAATTCCACAATTTAAATCTCAAGTGTTCTGTGCAAATATGGAGCATATAAATGAAAACCGCAAAGAATTTTCAATGTGGTTGAGATCAAAGATAGGCAAATTCATCTCCTGGGAGAGGAAAAAGGGTTATTTGCAATGTAATCTGGGGTGTAATTAAATATTAAATTAAATCACACTGTTAATCAAATTATGGATTATAATTTGATTGATTTGGTCTCATTTCGAGTATGAAATTCCTCTCGTCTGTCATCGTACTTCCGTAGCACGTTATTAACCTCGAGGGAAAATTGATTTCAATTAAATTGAGTACAGGAGATTCGCTGCCAGACTTGATTTGGTATAATTCGTCCTGTGAATCGTCTTTAAGCCGTGACATGGATTGTATGGAATGAATCCATATTAAATTCTTTTCACTCTCCTAATAACCATCCACTTAGTTCATTTTCCCCCCCCATTTACCCCTCGTCCTCACGGCTCTCCTTGGCACACAGTTTATCACTTTCCATACTGATGAGCTTAAATTGAATTGGACTAAATATGTATTACAGAGAGGCATTTGAGCGAAACAGCAGAGCAGTTGAATTGAGTCCGGATCATGTTCCTGATATTAATGTAATTACTGGGGTGCTAAAGGACTATCTCAGGGAACTTCCAGAGCCTCTATTCACTAGATGTCTTTTCCAAATGACCTTAGATGCTTTAGGTGAGTGCATAATTAAGTTTAGCAACAAGTTATCTACCATCAACACATATTCTCTTCCTCTCAAGTAGCTGTTTGCTTACCAGACGATCCTGAAGGCAACGCAAAACTCATGTTAAGTATCTTAGACTGTCTCCCGCGGGCGAATCGGGTGAGTAACCGATTAAACCACTCTCAGGCATTTTAGACTCAAAAACCATGGTATATTCCTCAGGCAACCCTTGTGTTCCTCCTTGATCACCTCTCATTGGTTGTATCTGCGTCTGACCGCAACAAAATGTCAGCCCAGGCATTGGCCACAGTCATGGGACCTCCGCTGATGCTGCACTCCTCAGGAAATGCCGGCGAGAATGTCGATCATGCACAGCCCATAGCAGTGCTCAAGTACTTGCTGCAGATTTGGCCACAACCACAATCCGCTGCAGCTTCAGGTAACGTAATCTAATTTGCTTCAGCATCATTTGGTATGCAAGATTAAATTGATGGAATTTACCCTCTAAAAACATGTATTATATAGATTAGAGGAACAATTTGTGGTGCCCTTTGAACCTCTTCTACTTGAACACAAAAACACTACATACAAGACATTTATTGATGGCTTTTTATTCATTTTATACGAGAAAGAAAGTGAATTCCGATATGCAAGGGCAGAAGTGAAACAATCGATTTGATGCACGAAAAACTGCAGACAAGGAGTTTGATATATATATAGTGAATAATGAATTCCTCTTGTCGATAGCGATGCTCTGTGCACATTCGCTTTAGCATTAAAGTGAATATTCTCATAAAATATAATTTTTCAGTGCCATAAAACACGCCCCATATATATACATATATATAAAACACGCCCACTTAAACTGCATCTCCATGTTTTTTCTACCATTAATCCTTTTTCCCTGTTCACTGTTTTCTGGGGATAAGTGGTTTCCTTTGTCTTGCTTCCCTTGGTGTGACGAAAGAAAAGTTGCCGCTTCAAGTGATGATAGTGTAGCCCCGAAAGCGTAAAACATGTTGCTGCTTTATGTTTTCCAATTTGCATCGTGTGTGTGATAAATTCATTTTCTTTCTCACCAAATTTATAGTCATTTTTTTGTGATGGGAAATAAAAGAAAATAATTCTGGTATATTTCCTCTTCTACAGATACTGTTGTCTCTGCATTCGCACCTACACAACACTACACAGTAAATTAATAAGGCATTCTAACAATTATACTAAAGAAAACATAAAGACATGAACCATATATATTAAGTAATGTATGTGCAAGAACAGTAGTTTGTCCTCAGTATGAAACATTGCGCAGTTTTTCACATTTTCTTTAATTCTCTAGCATTTATGCATTTGTTTTGTGGGCTTTGTGTAATCCCCAGCTGCATCCAGGGTGTTGCGAGAAAGTTGCAGGGCTGGGAATTGGGGAAGTGTGGCACAAGTGGCAAGTGGATTTTCACCCTCTTCTCACCCACTCTCACCATCTGCAACTTTTTCCAACCCACGGACGCTTTTTTTCGGCGCTTCTCCTCCGTTTTTTGTTTATTTTATGAGTGGTTTGAGGTGAACTCGCAGTGTAGAGAGAGAGCAAAGTTGCAAGACAGAGCTTTTTCCGGCTGGAACGCATTCAGCTTGTGGTTAATACAGAGTCCTATGTAGACAGGTCGACGCAGCGAGCCAATCGGGCAGCGTGGAAACAGAGCCAGTGCATTGCCAGCGGCCAAACCACAGGTCTCATCCAGCCTCCATACCTCACTCTCAGCAGCATCCAGCAACCCATCTCAAGGCCCTCTTCCGCTCTCAGCCACTCTCAGCAGTCGTGCGTCTCCATCAGCAGTGGCTCTGTTAGCTCAATCGCCTCAAGCCTCGCCGCTGGTGGCCCAACAGGTGAGATTACTCCACTCCGTGCTAAACCGATGCGGTGCAATTGACTCACTTCACGAGTGCACGCAAATTGTGGTATTTGCTGAATATACGCTTTTCGGGATTGAATGGGAAAACCGTGAAAAAAATATGATGAAAACTCAATTTATTTTTCCCCAAAACACAGATTGATTTTGAGGGGTGGAAACAAAAAAGAATTCATTTGATGTTGTTTCATTCGTCTATTTTGACACACTAATTAACTTCCGATCTACCTCTGCAGCACCTTCAATCGGCGGTCTCAGCGGCCTCGGCGGTGCGCGTCCAGTCGCCACCCGGCACACCCTCCCCCGGCAGTAGTTCCGCCTCGTCATCCGGATCTGAATCGGGTGAGTCTCTTAGCAGCGTCCCAAACTTTCAACACTCTGCGTCCTCTGCCGTAATTGCCTTATCATTCACCGAGTGAGACTACTCGAAAGCCAGTCTCTGGACTGTATTTAGTGCGTGGTTGAGGGAAAATGGCAATTAAATTGACGGAGCATTCAAAGAGTGAGGGTTTCAAGTGCAATCGTGCAAACTTTTCCTCCAAGGACCTAATTTAATTTTGCACACTCTGAATTTCTGTGTTGCGGTACGAAGACAGACTCGAAATTGTCGCGTGAAATTGCTTAGTTACGGATGTTGGGTGGGCTTTTTTTTCTCTCTCTAAAAGTCTGGCAGAAAGTAGATTAGTGGAGTGTTGAGGGCAGAGAGAGAGAGAGGGAAAAAAATGTAGTGCAGAGGGTTGATATGTTAATTTACTTTCTGCGCTTACATCCCCCAAAGGCACAGACACGGTGAAGAGGGGTGCTTCGCCGGCGATGAGTTTGTCTTCTGTGGCATCTGCCTCGACGGTTCGCCTGCGGGAGTCTGGCAGTTCGCATTCAGTGAAGCAACCGATGGATGGCAATGGCAGACCGCAAAAGAATGGCACCACTGACATCAATCCATCCACCGCAGAGCTGACGCGCAGTGGTTTCCACTCCACCGAATCATCACTCACTAATTACTTGTCCAAAATGTCGTCGGCGTCATCGTACATGGGCCAACAATTCAGGTCCAACTTGGCCACATCATCAGCAGACTCGAGCTTCCTGCTGCGCAATCAGATCATGTCCTCACTGGGCAACTACCAGTTCCCCTCCACCAGCTTGAGCAGTCGCCTCACGGACACCACATCGTCCGTGAGTGCCCTGGCCTCGGAGTATCTCCGGAAGACACAGCTGGACAGCTCCATCGGCCCCACCAGCCGCGCCGTGTCTTCAGTGACGGGCTCGCCGCTGTCCATGGCGAAGAGCACCTTCCAATCCACGGATGCATCGATCTCAGGACTGATCTACGCCACCAGCACGAACGGTGACACGTCGACATCCCTCACGGATTCAGTCGCGAGCAGTTCAGGGGCAATGCTGTACGGCACCCTGCCCAAGACTGGCAGCCCGTACTCCACCAGGGCCACCGCCAACGGTGGCACCACGTCGCCGTACAGCAGCGCCACGAATAGCATTGACCTGTTCGGCGCCAGTAGTGGAAATGGCTTCACGTACGGCACATATCGGGTCCAGTACTCCTCGACGAATCCCTTCCTGCCCACCTACAATCCCGCCCAGTGCGAGACATCGCACTCCGCCATCCCAACGATCACCATCTCGTCGAAAGACGCCGCCGGAGCCATTTCCACCACGGCGTCCGCGAAGATTGACACTGAATAAGGGCACCCATGACCGCTTAGGTCGAGATACGAAAGACTTGAAGGTGAATTTTCGCATGATTCAGTTGAATATCTCGACAATAAAGAATTACAATAATGTGTAAGATTTTCAGTAAATTAAGGAAATCTATAATTAACTAAAGAATGCTACAAATGGAGTTTTTGACAGTGCAACTCCGCTGCATTAGAAGTAGTCACACACTTCCCCCAGGCAGGAAGCGCTTTTTGATGGTACATTTTTAGGAGAATAAAGAGTCACTTAAGGATAAAAGAAAGAAGAAAAAAATGATGAAAATGCGATAAAAATAACGTAGACTAAGGGGATGAAGAGTGAAATAGTGTCCAGGAAGTATTCACGTGAAAAAGTTTTTGGGCCAAAATAACTTAGACAACAGAGATATTTGCTATTTCCTTTATCACCTCTATATACCTTTTCTATCTCTATTCTATCTATACAGATATTTATATAATGACTCTATGATGCTCTTGTACTCCCATTTTCAAGTTCCACACCTTTTCTATGTGCAGACAAAACATTTGTACTCCAAAACTTTCACAAGTTTGTGCAAGAAATGTTGTCGATAATTCCCAAAATCATTCTAATACCAGACATAAAACGTTTATTATTAGTTTACACGTGTTTTTGGCTCCAATGCGGGCAGAAACTTCACAAGGAATTATGAAGTTCAGGAAAAAAATGTGGGAAATTCAACTATTTCTTGCACTAACTAATCGTTGATTCGTTTATTTTCTTTGTCAATCTAAAATATCCTTTCCATACTATAAATTGTACCAAAATCCGGAACTAAAAGGGATTATAAACATCCTTTCATAACATTTAGAGTCTGAAATTACGGTGTTTTTGACCATGAAGAATGGTTTATAAATGACTTCTTTTGTAAAATCTAACCTGTACGCAAGAAAATACAGCTGAACAACCTAAGAAACCGAATAATAATAAGATAAACGACTGTTTCCTAATATGCTAAAGAGTAAAATAAAATATTCTTAAATACGCGAGAGAAAATTCTGTGCGCGAAGTCGCATAATACGAATAGAAGAGCGTGGATTAATGAACACACTCACGAGTAAATCGAATGAAAATCCACAAAAATGTGAGATGAAGGAGATAAGACCATGTGAGATATATAATGTTTAAGAGATAATCAACTGTCATGTGAAAATTCAGGTCCTTTTGCAACATAACACAGAATTTACAACATTTACCAAATAATATGGTATTTTTCATCAAACACAATCCACTTTTACACAAAGGAATCAATAAAAGAAAATTTCGGATAATATTTCCTTCTACAGTAGGTTGGTTTTGTGACAAATAATTAGATTACATTTCGACGACATTTATATACTCTTTATACATATGAGAAAGACATAAACAAATTTTTACTATTGATTTTAATACCAATTTTTCACGTTGAAAACTTAACACACAGAACATGAGATATTCTGTGTTCTAAAAAAAAGAAAACACACAAATAATTATGGTGAGGAGAAATTAATCAGTAAATTTATAGCGTAAAATGGCTAAAAGGTGAATTGTAACGTGACTTTTAGTTGATAATGCATTTTAGTGGGGTTTTTCAGGCTAACACCTGCCCATTGATTTTCTATTGAGGCTTAAAACTTAAATGTAAAGAAAATGATACCATAAGTGTAGATTAGCAAAGAGAGAAAATTACAACAATTTGTATATACATTCAAGCAACTAAAGTAATTCAATGCATATTAGTCGAAGATATAGACCGAAGTCTTATAGAGTAGTTCGTAATCGCATTAGGTGAAATTCTAGCGAAGAGTCATGTCAATTTATTACATTTGAATTATAATCCTATAATTGGCAAATTTTTCTGTTGAATAGACAATGTTTTGTTTCCGTTTCTTTAATAATTATATTTACATATTATACACTGTCTTCAGAGATTAAAATCTAACTAAAGTACGATAGATATTGGATATTGTAAGGAAAATGTTGCTTTTATTGTTTGTTTAGTGACAGGATTGGTAGAGAAATTAGGTGGAGTAATTAGTATGAGTGTGCTTATGAGTGAGTAGAGAACCAAAAAGACACAAACTTACAGGGTGTAGACGATCATCTCAAGAAATTCACTGCTAAACTACCTCTTTCAGTTGATAATCATCTACAAAGACATATTTTACGTATAACAACAATTAAGACGTTGACAGCATTTGATTTTGCCTTAGTAAATAGCTACAAGATGACTTCATTTGAAGTTCATCTGAGCTTTCCATTGAGTTTCACACCTTGCAAATATTTAGATCTTTTTGATGTGATTGAAGACACAATGACCACTTTGTTTCCAATGTCTTGTTCACCAATAAACCACTCAATATGCAAGTGGTGTGTAACGAAGAACTCAACATGGTTATTGAAGACAGCCAGAGCAAATTGCTCTACGAAAATCATCTGCAAGAAATCAATATTCTCTTCTCACACCCAATTTTCACTCTCGCTAAACTATCAAGTTGTTTTCCACACTGCACACCTTTTCGTGCAGAATTGTTCAATATCCCATTTCCTTCCCATTTATTGTATCAGCATCATCGACTATAAAGGAGCACAAGAATTCTGGGAGAATGAATGACTCGGAATTAGGAAGCTCTTGTCAATGAGACTATTGAATTACGGAGAGAGAGAATACTCTCTCTCTATATGTATGTTCGTATGCAAATTGCTATTGGAAATGTTTGCACATGAGTTCTTCGTTTAGTCCAGAATTTGTGAAAACACTTCGTATTTGGGTCATTGATTTTCCCCATACGAATTTCCATATAGTGTTTCCGGAAAGGATAGTTTCTCTTTTGGGTTTAAGGTTATGCATATTTCAATAAGCAATTCGGGATTTTCAATATTATATACACTCTGTAGTCAGAAAGTTGAGAATTAAGTGCTCAAGAAACCATTCTAGATTAAAGATTAAAGTCATAGACATTTGTTCATTCATTAATCAAGCCTTTCATCGTTGGTTGAACTACACTAAGATGCAGCTTATTGAAATGTTCTGATGGAAAGTAGGAAGCAATAATAGCTTTAAATTTGCATCATTGATGGGCGTTGTGTCTTCAGTTGTTTAACGAAAAACACCTTCTAATGTACTCAAAACATACTCTCTAATTTCGCTGCAATGAATATTTTCGCGAGAAGCACTTGTCGGGATGAAATGAGCGCCAATTGGTGTATAAATACTGAATGGAGTGTTGAATAATGCAAAGGTGAGAAGATCAAAACGGCATCATTGAGAGCAAGGGAGTCGAGAAGATGGTCTTGAGAAGTTTTCTTTCCATCTGGCGATGGTGCTTCTGACTCTGAATCAAAATTCACCAGCAAATGTGCGTGAAGAATGGCCAGAATTTATGTGATTGAGTGAATATTTGTCCCTGTTTCTCCACTCAAACATTTTCCACTTGATTGCGTGATAAGCTATAGTGAAATAGATATATTGTTGATCGTTTGGCGACATTGATTGTGACGTAGAATTTGTACATTTACACACATATATATATATTACATTCATCATGAAAATTGTCGACAATGTTTCACACTTTTTTTTATTTCTAATAATAACAAAATTGTAATGAATAAAATATTCAGTGTCAATTTTTGCAAGAATAACATTTTTTAGAGGAATAAATTAAAGCTCAAACGATAATGAAAAATCAGGGAAAAGCACACTTTTTGGAAATCTTTTACGGTGTATTTCTCTTTTTCGTGACTGTGCACAATTTTCCCCATTTTTTTTTCTATTTAAATCTGAACTGCTCTGACCGACTGAATTATTTAGTTTAAATATGATTAAATCATAATTCATGAAGGGGTATTTGAAAGGACAATGAATACGATGATTAGTTGAATAAAATGAAGCATCTGTTGAGTTTTCTTATGGCAACTTTGAAGTATAATGATATATTATTATAAAGAAAAAAAAACCAATGAAGACGAAGTAAAGGGCAACACTTATTAAAACTGATGATAATATGTAATTAATCCTGGGCTTGTTGGTATATCACTGTTTCATATCGTAATGAAGAAACTTATATAATAGTTATATGTATAATGCACAATATACAAGATGGAGCATTTGAGGTGAATATTTTAAATGAATTATTATGAAGAGAAAGATTCAAAAGATCCAGTGGATAAGATGAAAAGTTTTTTCCGCATGAGAGAAGGTTGAGTAATTGATTTATTTCATTGAATTGACTCTTAATATAGAGAGGAAAATTGTCCAATTTTGGATGCATATTTATCACACTGTACTATACACACATTTTACATGTATAGATTAATGAGAAGGAAAAGAATTCCCTAAAGAAATATCCTCCAGTCTTCTAAAAAAGGGATAATAATAACGAGATGAAATTCAAGAATTGATTTCAATTATGATTTTACGTCAAAAGATCATCAGTTTCCTTTGTCGGCATGAAAATTGAACAAGAAGAGAAAAAAATATCATAAAAATCATCAAACATTTCTCAACTTATTTTTTCCATTTTCTCCTTTTAGTGTCATTAAAACTTCATGAGTAGATTTGAAGAAAATAAGATACAACAAATCAGAAGCTTTCTCTCTCCCTTTTATATTTCCAAAAAAAAATATGGAAAATCGCTTTTCAACTGAAATATTTAAGACAAAAAAATATACATAAAAATATATAATAATAAAATGTTGCATATCACTTACACAATTTTATACTTCAATGATGTATTATGATATACTAAAAATCTGATTAGCGTTGGACGTAATATAATAAAAAAAAACAGAACATTTTCTTTAGATAAAAAAATCGAAGAACAAGAAAGAAAAGCATTTGATGACTTTGCAAAAGTCATCAGAGAATCAGATTTTACGATATCCATCAAACACATATTTCGGAATTAAGAGAAAAAACTACTATAATTTGCATATTTTATCTTATTTTGCATCTCTTTACTCTCTATCTGAACTCTCATTCAAAACTCTATCTTTTCATTTGGAATCATAAAAGTTAAAAAAAAAATACGCAGAAATGAATTGCAATTAAATGAAGGAAAAGAAATTTTAAGCGCGTGTAAAATAATTTTTACAATGTAATTTAAATACTAAGAAGTAATTAGTGGCAATTTGCTTTAAAAAAGAAAGAAAGAAAGAAAAAAACAAAGTTCATGATTAAAAGAAAATTTAAGAAAAAATGGACAAAGAGATGAAAATATATCACAATTGATTTAACGAATCAAGAGAGAAGAAGTAAGTTAATTTAACAATTGTATTATGTACTCAAGAGTAGTGGTTTATATAATTAAAAGAAAGTGAGAAAAAAAATGAATATTATAGTCATAAAAAAATGGAATTAAAAAGAAAAATAAAAAAATAAAGATGGAAAGAAAATATGATTCAATTGCAATAATTATTGAAATGAAGATGGAAAAAAAACTAATAAGCTAATTTACAAATGATTTAATGATTAACAACAATCTTATAGTGAAAATATTTAATTGAAAATATATAGTGAAGGAAAGATATGAAATATACGATGCCCCTGAACTATAGTGAAGAAAAGAACTCGATGTCTCCGTGTGTCCTTCTTCTGTTACTGCAAATTTTACCACCATCATCATCTTTTTCCAAATATTTTTCCTCAAGTTGCAGAACACCGAGTGAAGTTAGCAAGAGAGAATTCCACTCAGAGTGAAAATTTCATTTAATCGCATAATGTCATGTTTTTTCCACATTTTGTAATCGTTTTTCTCAACGACACGACGTCATCCATTCTATTTAAGAGACAAATTCATCTTATAGGCAAAGAAAGGAATAAATTCAAAGTAAAATGAGTATTGAAGGACCTTATGACATTCAGATGAAGAATGAGTATTAAAGAATAAACTAAAAAAAAGGCATTGGATACAGTGTTAGAAGGATATGAATACTCTGATTTACTACTGCCACAAAAAGTGAATAGAATTATGAATTAAAAATAAAATAAATAGAAATTCTTTGGGCGAAAATAAACGATGTTAAACAATAATAATAAAAATGATGCGTTTTATTTACTATGAATCCAAGATTCCTCCAAACACAAACAGCTCATCGACAAACTTTCATCGATTTTGCGTCTCGGATAAACCAAATTCTGTTCCTGAAACGGTGAGATTTGAGAACCCCCAACTCTTAAGTTAAGAGCATCCAAGAGTAAGCGAATGGTGAAAAGGAAATCCTCAGCAGCTCACTTATCTTCAGTTCAAATGGATTTGGATAAATGATAAAAAGAGTCTTGTTCTTAATAAATTTTACACATTTTATTATAAAACGACAAAATTTTTAAATGCGACTGGATCTTTTCTCATTAAATATATTTTCCTCGAAAAGTACAGAAAGATTTTCTCACACACAATCACAAGATAGATCTCATTTACTCATGATCCTCAACATCACTTTCCCTCGTCATAATGTTGTCCTTAACAGATTCTTGTAACGAAAGGAAATTGACATTCATAGTGTTGTTTTTTTTCTATGAGGCGGAGTTCTTTCTGTACTTTTGTATTCTTTGAATTTTTTTTTCATCATTTTTCTTCTTCAATATAGTAAAATGTATAATAATAATAATATTTAATAATTAATGAGTAATCTGACAATTCATTTCTCTATAATTTTTCTTCTCTTTCATTTTGTCTTCGATAACAATTCAAAATTCCATTGTTTCACTAAATTTTTTTGTGGTCTCTCATTTTTTTCTCTTTGTTCCTTCTCTATCTGAAAAATTGATTTTCTCTTAGCCTTTTTTTTCTTCCTAAAAACACTTTTGTGACCTTTCATTGAGTTGTTGTTGTTCAAAGTCTTCCAAAGGTTTGTCTTTACCACGTCTCTGATTTTTTTCTGTTTTTGTTTTTGGTACATTTTGAAAGAGAATGCAACAATTTGATTTTATTCTTCATTTTGCTTTCATTGAGAAATTCTTTTAACCACTAATTGAGAATGAAAGTAGCGTAGCAGAATCGTTAAAATGATGAAAAAAAGAGTATAAAATTATGATAAAAATATAATGAAGATTTATCAGAGATAACAAAATTAGGCCTTAAAGATTTTCTTCTTCTTTTTTTTTATTCTTTTCAATGTTTGTTTCCATTTTCGCGATGTTTGTCGCAATTTTCATTTTTTCTTTCGTTCCGTTTTTTTTCGTAAAATTTTGTGTATTTTTGTCTTCTCTATTCAATATTTGATACTAAATATTTGTATTTTTTTCCATTCCTTTTACATTAGATTAATATTTCACTTTTTTTCCATTATTTGCTCTCGATTTTTTTCGCCTTATTTCATATTTGTTTTTCTTGCTTCACTGTTCATTACTTTTATTCATTTCATTTATAATAATAATGATAATTCATAATGATAATGTAGTCATAGGTATGTCATAGGTAAGATTAAAATTAGCGCTAAATATAGATAATTTATATGTAAGATGTAAGTTTTTGTATAGTTATTAAGAGATTATAGCAATATAATTTATTTATTTACTCCTCCTTAAATTGTTTCCTTCTCTTCTCCGCAGTTTTTTTCTTCCTTCCATTGTCCTCTTGTTCGACAGAGTGTATCCTTTTTTGTATAGATTTTCTTTTAGTCAGTACAACTTCTATTGATTAATTCGCTCTTTCACATGTATTTTTTTTCCTTCCAGTTCAAAATATTGACGCGCATTGATACACATTTTTTTTGTGTGTATTTCTTGATCATCACTTTAAAGATAGGATTACTTTTTACTTCATGACTTTTCTTTATTCATTTACCATAAATTTTTTTTCTTTATTTATAATAATAATAATATATATAATTCTCACTGGGTTTTCCTTTCATCTTTTAAAAGTATCTTCCTCACTATTCTGCGTTTTTTTACAGTATTTTCTGACATTATCTAAAATGAATCCATTTTGTCCTCAACTTTGACTACGTTTTACTTAGTCATTCCCTCATTTTCTTGTCATCTCTCTCTTTTTTACCTCACAATAAATTCATTTTTTTTTAGTACTTTATCTTGATACACATATACAATAATAATTCTGATAAATAATTGGTCATTTCATCATGTTTTTCTCATCTATTTCATTATTCAATTGTCACGGTACAATTTTCTTTTCCATAATATTTTTAAGCTTATCTATAATATTGAAGTATATATTGATTCTTTTCACATATCCTGTCTCACTAACTATCTGAAGAAATACTCTCAGTTGAAAGTTATTCTGTGATGAAGAATACGTTGGTAAAAATGTGTGTGTGTGTTTTCTTTTCCACTGTTCAGAAATGATAAAAGTTTCGGAGGCAAACGCTATCAATGCATTTTGTTCTTCCTTATTTACCTGTATTCAGTTTAATTTTTTCTTATTTTTCTTCCTTAAACTCTTGTGTTAATTCCCTTTTGCAAGTTATTTTTTTTTCTTATCTCAAATTTCACACCCACGAAAATCGCTCACTCGTCGCTCGCGCATTGCGAAATCATAAATTATAACATTCTCAAGAAATACTTTTTTTTCTCTCCTTAGCTTTTAGAGCATATTTTGTCAAGACGCTCGACTCTCAAATGTGGGCTTTGCGCTAATCTAAACTGTCTTTTAGCCTTTCACTATTCCGTCAATCTCCTATTAATTATCTCTAATTTTATCATACACTTTCCTCGCATTCATGTGATTTTTACGCACTTCTTTGTCCTCATCTTCTCATCCTGCACGATCATCTTCAATATGTTTATATAAATTTAAATATTCTCCATATATATTCAATATAAGAACATTGTGCCCTTTTATATATCTTTCTTCTCTTCATTAAAATACTTCTTTTCAATATGTTAGATATGATGTTTGCTAATCCAAAAATAAACAATTTTCTTCATCTCTGATTTAATATCTTTCTTTTTTTGCACATTTTTTTCTCTCTCTCTGTAAAGATATCTCTCTTTTTTCTTCTTCTATTTAAGCCTTTGATTAATTTTCACGTGATATTTTTACTCACTCACAATCTTGTGTATTTTTTCCTCATTTTTTTTTTCTTCCTATTGTGCGTCACTTTAAATAATGACTCTTTTATCCCGCTTCTCAGCCATCCTGTTATTTAGCGAAAGTTTCGTCCACAAAAATACTTTGAAGGATTTTCTTTCGGGTTAGAAGAGATTTTTCCTATCAGAGAAGGTTTCTTGAAGAAGTTATAAAGAGAATCGGAGTGTTGATCAAATTTATCCTTGCTTACACACAATAAAATTTTACTTTTAAATTCATTTCATCATGTCAATCATTTTTGCTTTGAAGTCTACACCACGCGCTTTCGCTTCTCTCTCTCTCTCTCTTTTATCTGTCTCACGATCCCGAATACAATATACAATAGCTAAGTTTTACAATTTCTCTAGAATCTACAGGTGATAATTCATAAATACCTCTTTCTGATTTACTGTTTATTACCTATAAATTTCTTCTATGCCTTTCGCTATAAAATCAATTTTTATTCTCTCTCTCAGTTTCTCTTTGATTTCAACCTGTGGCAGATGGACTTGCGCCAAACCACCGAAAAATCAATTAACAGGATAAATGATACCTATTGTGACCCCAATCACTGTATAAAATCCACAAGTAATATCCAATCGCTTTATCAACTCTGCTCCTTATGATTCTTCTTCTTCTCTTCATTTTTTTTTCTCGAAAAAGTGTTTAGAATTGACTCATTTGGCGGTGCTCACATATTGTGAAACACAATTTATAGTTCCTTATACTTGTCCTAAATGGTAAACCCTCCAAATATATTTCTATACATCTAAAAATTACACTTTTGTCATGTCAATAGTATTTTCTCTACATTACAGTCCAGTGGCAAAAGTGCTCTCTTGCCAGAGACATTTTCTGTGTGTGTGAATATTCAAATCTCTAGTCGCTTTTCGTGGGAATTTTCAGAGGATCCTCGATAGTTGCTTACACTCTCTTTCCGTCTACAATACTCGCTATAACATCAATTTCTAGTGACTCGATACACTACGAAACTCAGTGAAATTCAGGTGAAGTGATAAGACTTTGAACTGAACGGGAAAAAACATCGAAGGTTGGGGCTTGAATGCGCGCTTTTAACATTAATTCTCGCTTTTTTCTGTTACCATCTTCTTTGTTAAAATTACAATGATTGTCGGTCTTGATCACAGATTAAAACAAAGATATTTTTTCACCAATGCACGAACAAAGACAAATATCGAGAATTATATTACGCCAAAGATATGAAGAGGGATAAATTCATTTTCCCTGGTGTGAAACTTTGCAAAACAAGAGGATAATTTGGCTACAAGACAATTGGCCAATTCTCTGTATATATATTTATACTTTTCTGACCATGAGGAAAGAACTCTAGAAGAGAAAAAACAGTGAGAAGCAGATTGGATGAGATTTGAGCATTTGCTTCTCTCCTCTGGCACTTCGCAGCATGCCTTCTGGGGCGCTGAACTTCTGCAGTTGTGCCACAATTGATGGGGGGAAACAAAGGCTTTATGCGTCTGCATAATTGCTAAAGTAGCTCAAAGGAATTGCATTTCAACGTGTGATGACGGCAAATAAATCTTCTTTTTGCTGCTCGGGAGGGGATAAACTTAACAATAATTTGTGTTACTTTAACAATAATTACTCCTTTTGACTACTTAAACATTTAATATAATTTAATGTTTTTTTTTTTCTTCAATACGCCTAGCTTACTCCACTTTTCACTAAATATTATCTTAATAATTAGCTTCACTCTAAGAACTTATAAAGATGCCTTTCATCGCGTCATTTGCATTTCTCTCTATGCACTCACACTTACCGATTATTTCTACACAAGTTTTCTTGTCATGCTTTTACACTGTCTGATGCTTAAACACTCAGTTATAGTTTTTTTTTCACTATAATTTCTCTCTGGTATTTATTGATATACTGTCTTAAACGGATAATTTTTTCCTTGTAAAATGATCCACTTCTCATGCTGATTGTCAATGAAAGTAATGCCAAGGGGTTTTTCTTATCATTCCCCCGCTGATTCCTTCACTTCACAAGATATTTTAATATTGTTTTATCAATTCTTTTTTTATTTAAATCCCCAATCTAGCTAAAATTTTTACTTCTGAAATCACGTTTTTTCGTGTATATTTTTTTTTTTGTAAAAGTGAGGATTTTATGATATATATATATCCGTCATTATCCATTCCCAATTCTTAAAATTATTCATTTTTTTTAATGTATTTCATTTAAAGATATTATTATTAAATCACCATGTTTTAAATTTCATCATTTACACCATTTTCTCAATTATTTTCTTACAATATTTATCTCAATTTTTTTTTAGTTTCAAATATAAGCTCAACGCATCTACATAATATTTCACCTCTAACTTTGTTCATTTCTCATTAAATTTACTTGTTTTTTTTTTTAATAGGTAGGTATATTTTTTTTAAGTTGAAAGTGTATGTATTTATTTTGTTATTTAATTTAGTTCTGTCTAATGATTTCCATCTCCTCAGATTTCTCACATTTCCTGCTACTTTGCAATGTCTTATGCACTTTTTCTCTTATTAAATTCATAATTCAACTCCTCTTAAACTGCCCTTGATCATTGTTTTTTGTGTCTCTTCAACTTGGCTTCTGAGTTGTTTGCACTATTTCTGTAACTGCCTTAGTTAATGTCTTGCAAACAGTTTCACTTAACTTCTATACAATTTATATGGTTTTGTTGTTGTTTTTTTTAAAGCATACAAAAACTAACAATAAAAAACTAAACTTATCTCACTAATCAAAGGTAGATCGTATTGGAAAATCATGTCATAACATCGTTCAGAGGGAGGTTTTTTGTAAAATTAAAAAATATAATATTTCTTCATCTTCTTCCATTTTTTCTTTTAACATTATTCAGGAGAAATACTGTGTCATATCATTCATAAAAATGTCAGTTTAAATAACACTTGACTGTCGAACGTGAAAATAAAACTCCTAAAATCTTACTGGGCCTTAAAAACTGCACATGTAAATCTCTTCCTTTTCATCTTGTATTCAGATCTTATGCTTTCTTCATTTCATCCAACAAAGGATTTCTATTTCCTTGCGCAAATAAAGAATTATTCCTAGAAGTAATCCCCAAATGGAAAGGAAGAGAGTGTAAAATATACTAAGAAAAAAAATAAAACATAAAAGTATAGACATAGAACAATAAGACGTAATATATAAGAATCTCAGTGAATTCATTCCAAAGAGTCCAAATTGCTACTGCATACATAAGTGAGCAATTCCGTGTTTTGCCAATTTTTCAATTCTGTATTCGCTGCATCTTTGAGATTTCCTCAATTCTCCTTCCGCCCCTGCAAGCGCTGCGATCTGGCTATTGGGCGCGCCCTTTTGATGCTTCCACCGCAGCTGAATACACACAACTTCCCAGTCGCACAGCTTAAATGTTTGACTTGGAGAAGCTCACACGGAGATGATTTGACTCTGACAATTGATAATTGTGCATTTTGATGAGTGCCAGAACTGCTTCTTCCACGGAAGCCAGTTGAAGTAAAGCCATTTTGCGGTCCTTCCTGTTGGTGGAAGAAGAGGAATAAGTTCGTTTAGAACATAAGATTGAATTTGAAGGAAACTCACGGGAAAAATTTAAACGCCTTAACATCGAAGTTATTTTTAACGAACGCATCACGAATATCCTCCTCAGCTATTGTAGACCTAAAAATAAACACACAAGAAAAATAGTTAGTACTTTAGAAAGATAACTTTATCTAACTTGTTTCTCTCGAGAGAGTCAATTTCAGATGAAAAGAGTCCACAAATTTATGTATTCATTTTGGCAAAATTGATCTGCCTGAAAGAAAATCCAACTGTTTGTTTAGCGGAAAACATGATGGCAAACAGACACCTAAAGGTAAAATTATCCGTCGACAGGTGGGTTGGGAAGCAAAAAATGGATTTCCTCAAGTTTGCGACCCGCAACAAGTTAATAAGACAAATAATTCCAAAATGAAAACTTTTTGATGTTTCGCGTGCCGAGATAATTTTTCACCATGGAAAAGTCTCTTCTGTAACTTTATCGCCACAGCGTGGATTCGATTTCTTTTGTGGAGTGAAAATCTACGATGTTTCGTGATTGACAAGAAGATAAACATCGTGAAACGGAAGCTACAACTTCAATCGCAATTTTCACAGATAAATTCTGGTGCTTTCGCTAAACTCCATTTATGGATTCTATAGACATTTCGTCTCTTTCCCTTGATTTTCATCTTATTCTACTCTTGTCTACTTTTCGCCCCCCCCCCCCCCAAAAGCCGTGAATTGAGGGAAAATAATATTTGGATCGTCATCGCAACTAAAGACTAAAAAGGTAAGGGATTAAAATCATCACAGTCATGAGATGATTGTGTGTACAAAGGAAATTGAGTGCTGTGAGAAACTGTGGGCATTGAGAAGCAAAACCACACGGTAATCTTCTAAAAAGTAGAGTCAAAAGCTTTTTACAATCGACGATTCATCCGATGTATGAATAATATTTTAAATCATCCCCTCTTTTTTTCCCACAATTCTCATCCCTTCAACCTCCTCTCCGTGCGTATCACGTTTAAGGGTTGTAAAACATCTTCACGTGCAGCGTGGCGAGAGAGAGAGAAAAAAACTGTGAATAAGGGTTGAAAAACATCGGTATCATTTATCCTCAATCTTTGACGCTCTCAGACACTTTGCATACAGTTCGCACACCCACTTCATCACGAGCGGATACTGAGTAATTCAATGGAGAGCACATAAATATTTCATTGGTTGCAATAAATAAGCGATGCACACATTTTTACTGCAATGTTTGGATACACTTTCATCGATCTCCCCACAAAAGTGAGGGTGTGAAGTCGCACAGCAAACACTGGGGGGTGACTTTGTGAACAAATTTCACAGTGGATCTCTTGAATTCTTGACCAATTATCAGAGGCGAGATTGACGTAAGAAATTATATGAAATATTCTCATTGAGTATGTCAAGATAACACTTACGGAATGTTACTCAAATGCAGTGTCGCCGATGGCGGATAAATGTTCTGGTAGTTTTTACTGCCTGGCTTCTTGAAGCGATGCAGAGGATTCTGAGAGTAGTCGCGCGTTAATCCAGCATCTGGTTGACCCTCTTTTGGCAATTGAACAGCTTGATGCTTGCTGGCCATCACACGAATCGACTTTCCCCACAGTCGCAACTTATCCAAGTGGTTCATTGCTGGAAGAAAAACCCAAATACAGCAATTAAGCCAATATATTAGAGAATTGTTTCAGCTTTTTGTAGGCTTCCACAGACATCTGTACACAACTCTGGGTGCATCGGGGAAACATCCCCCCCGGACGGGGTTTGGGAAGTAAGAGCAAGAATGAACAGAGGAGAGTTGCCCGTTGGAGGAAAAAAAAGGGAAATGTGTTATTCTTCCTCTACAATAAGCTCTCAAGCCAGATAACAAATGGATTCTATTGATTTTATCGCTGTTCGACGTGTGCTGTAACATATGCAGACACACATTCCGCTCCAATGCATATCTGAGACTTGTTTGAGTGCCATCACAACCCCGAAGACACACTGGATTCAATGGGAGACGGTGAGCATTTGCAGGGATATTTGATTGGATATAAGTTGAGAGTGTCATATTCTCTTTGGGAACTTTTCAACTATCCACTCTATGTCCTGTTCATGCAGTAAGTGTGCTCCTGCATACAGTTCATTTTGTAAAATCACTCCATCCAGCAGAATGGGGTGCACACACAGCCACCCCACAAGCCCACCAGTGGAAAACATCGGGTGACTTTCTCCACCCTCCCCCATTTCATGGGGGGAGTGAGTGGACATGGTTTGACCTACAAACGAACAAGTTTTACACTTTGGAAAATATGGAATTCACCTCTGGAGCAGAATGCAAATCATCTAATATAGAGCGATTAGTCTTGAGGGGCTGCTAAGCTAAGCAATTCAGGTGAGTGCATCCAGTTCTTGTGATCTCACTGCCGGATTAGCATTCCGCGTTTGCCCGAGAATTGAATATTAGCCGGCTCAAATGCATAATCCCATTGAAATTGGAACTGAAGCTAATATGGAAATGGTCATTTTGTGTTGGAGATTACCATAATATCACTCACAGCTAGTGCATTAGTCATATTTGCATTTCTCTCTCTCAATTTTGAATTTGAAGTCCAATTTGAGCACTCATATCAGAGCTAATTACTTTGCTTATTTCAGACACCTACAAATGTGTTGTTAAACCATAAATCAGCATGATCTTATGACAGCCTTTTAGGATATTCAATTAACTCTTCAATTAATTGGTCACCATTCTGTCCATGCACTATTTAGAGACACGGAAAACTAATAGGATTCTAAGAAGACTTATGCGATAAATATTGAGAAGCAATTTCGTACCAATTAACCACATAGTGAATAAGGTGTATTTATTTGTATGATGCAAAAGAGTAAAGTTTGCCACAAAAACATAGAATTGATGGCGGAAATATTGACAAATTACCTGCGTTGAGAGGTTCTTGGAAATCAATATCGACGAGTGCAATTTAATTAGGGCTTTTACACAAACAATTGTGTTGCCTACGTAAAAAGAGGGCTTTTTCTGTTCTCCACGTAATAAAGAGCAATTAACTTGCAATTAGATGTATAATTATATATACTTACAAATCAGCGTGTTTATTATGGTACTTTTGCTGAGAAATTTCTTCTCAATTGTACCCTTTTCGTGAGAAATTATTCACCCCTTTGCTGACCTTATTGACGATTTAGTTGCTATTTATTTGATGGTAGTTTCATAAATGATCTGAGGATGGATTTTACGGAGCGATAAATTTATTTGGAAAATCATGCAAGTGTAATATCACTTTACACGAGTGCATAATAATAAATGAGTGGAAAAGTTGCACCCATTTGCAAGAGATAAATCCAATTGAAAGATGTATTTGCTAAAGCATGTTTGCTTCGGGTATTTAATAAGTGCTTTAGGGGAGGTAAAATTCAACCCATTACATATCGATGCATCTCAATTTGAGTTTTCACTCTCCCCTCATTCACAGAAGCAGTCACTTTCCACTTTTCCCGCATATCAGGTGGATGATGGCAGTCTGGGGGGGGGGGAGAGGAAGAGTTATCGCAGAGCTTTTACCCATTTTACACTTGAAACGTCAATCACCATCCACCCATTCATCCATCTACCTGATAACGGTAATTTACCTCAATGTTTCTCAATGGGGTTGCTTTCTGAGGCACGGCGACATTCCTATGGATTCTCCCGCACCCCCCAAATGGCCACCCATCCGCCGAGTCCCACGGACTCTCCGCCAGGCTGGCGGTTTGGTACGGAGGGGAGGCACATATCACACAAATGTCACACCGTGGTGAGTCATATTTCCGGGGAAATGAATATAAATTGTCCCCTCACAAATATTATGCGGAGCGGAGTATTTTGTGGCGTAGAGAAGAGACTCCATCACGAATTTTCGGAAGATTTTCCACACAAGAAAAAAACCTTGTTACATCGTCTCATCTCTCGCATAGATAGAATGATTGTGCAGCGCATGTTTAAGTGAGGAAATATCTGCTCCAAAATGACATAAATTGCTATCATACAAATTTTATACATTGAGAGAGAGAAAACAGATTAGCAAAAGTGTTGAAATATTCCTCTCTTTTCACCACAATATGGGTCAAAATTACTGTGCTGGTAATTCAATAATTAGGCGGTATGTTTCGAGTGCATTTGCTACGAAATGAAAACAACAACGAGGAAATAATTTAATTAACATTGTCACTGTGTCAAAGTACGCTTCACGACTCTGCATAGTTGTGGCTTTTATTTCACTGTCGCTCTCTCCATGTGGACCAATCTCGAGTCCCTTTTCTCATGCGAGCCATTCAACATATTTTGGCACATGACCAAGAAACATTTCAAAATTGTCTAACATGCGGCAAAATTTATACTAAATAGCTGTGATTCCTCTTATTGTTTACTTTCTTCGAAGACATTCGGGAAATTTTTTATTATCTTCAGCCCAAGAAAGCGCCTCCAAGGCGAATTTCCACTGTGGCGCTGAAGATCTTCGTTTTTTTTATGTCCCACATTTGTGACTCTTCTCTAGGACCGCCGCGCGTCTATTGTGTAACTTCGGGTGGGTTTTTCTCTTGGACTGAAAAGAGGTCGTTCCGGTGGGATTTTATTGGTGTAATTTGAAATGTTGTTGTGCGAAGAATTTGAATTTTATATCAGTGTTAACCGTCCAAAATCAAGTGGCATTCGAGCAGCAAAGCCACCACAATCCAATAAAAGCGGGTCTTGAGATTGACAGTGTAAATAAATTACGAATACAATAAATTTAAATTTGTCATAAAATCGCGTCTCTGATAAATACAAGTAAAAAAAAAACTGCGCTGCGTCGTTGGTTGTTTCATGTTTGCTCGCATTTTCCCATGTCTGTTAGCTTTTCCTTGAATTCTCTTGTGTGAATTGTGAGTCAGGAGAGGAATTGTGAAATTATGGGAACAGGAAGCAAAATAACCCGCGTGGTTAAGAGATCATAGAGATGCCTAATGTACTCACCCAAATATGCTTGATGTGGTTCAGCCATCTGAATTAAAGCTGAGTCTTTTTTGTTGTAGAGAATCTTCACCCGTTGTACATCACCATAGACCCCTGAATATGAGAAAAGAAGGAGAATGTATAGGCAAAATCTCGACAAATGCTTAGGAAAATCTATCAAACTTCCCTCTCATTGGAATTATATAAGATGAAATTTGCCTTAATATCGCCAAGGCATATAATTTCAACTTTTGAAAGAAGAAAGATAGGATTAAATGAGAGGAAAGGTTTGAGAAATGAAAAATACGCAAGGCTTTTGGCGAATTACTCTAAAATGTGTATTCCCACGAGATGGTTTAAATGAAAAATTTCACTGTGGAAAATCGGCTTTAAAATGATTTGCTGCAGAGTTGGAAGAGCTGGAAAAAAGTCTACGTTAAATCCCCTCCTACGGTGTGATTGTGTTATTAAAATATGTATTAGCCGTAATATTAATATCACTGTCTATCTGGCAAATGTTCCAGGAATGTTTTCGAAGAGAAGAACGGCTTCGCAGGAGATTAAATTCGACCTCCTTTCCTTTGACTCTTTCCTCCCCTCTCTCCGCAACATTCACCCAAATTATGTCGCTGGAAAATTTCATTTCCCTCCAGCATATCAAGGATGAGATAAAATATCTCTCAGCTTCCTCCTCAGCTGCTGCTGGACATTTCAATAAAATTGATATCGCGCGGGGGGTGAGACCGAAAAAATGGGTCGGAACATGAACTAAAACATGAGGAATAATAAATGAAAATTATCCTCGGTGGAAAATTTTTACATTTCCTGAAGAAACTCCGCACTACTAATTTTAAACATTTGACGAGCAATAAAAGCAGCGTGTCTGAATTAAATTAAATTATTAATGATGCAATTTTCATTAAATGAATTTTTTACCATTTTCCTCTTTTTTCCGCTCTTCCTGCGCCTCTTGTCATTCCCACACTTTTGGCACACTTTTAGGCGGGGGTTGAGCGGAAAAAATAGTGAATTGAAGTGTGGCATAAATAAAAAATGTGCCAAGGGGATATTTTCTCTGGCTTGCATGTATTTTTTTTTAGACTATATATGTGTACATATTATCCACACAGTTTCGAATTTATTGAAAATTCTAGTCACGACCATCGAGTGCATTTCAAATTCAATTCAGTATTTTGTCCACAAAAATAACTTATTTTCACGCTGAAGTGTGGAGAAATATTAACAGTGAGAAAAAGCATTTTTCACCACAAGTGTTCATTTACAGTGAGACCAGAAATAATAGACCACCAAATATCGCAGTTATTATTTTTTAATAACACTTGATAAAACAAGAAATGAATATTTTGCCAAATAAAAAATGATTGTCAAGTTTCAGTTAATTAAAAATTCAATTAAATCCTCAAACTGCTTCAATGTTTTCTTAATAAAAATACAAAAAAAACTGCACTCGAAGTGAAATCATAAAGAAAATGCGAGAAAGATTCACAGGAAGAATCCTTTGAGGTTTATTTCAGAGAGCACAAAAGAAGTGATTTCATTTTAAGTTAGTCTCTCATTTTTCTTTCATTTTGTGAGTTTCTTGTATGAAATTCTCCTCAATCTACTTCTTAATTCAGATAGTCCAGAAAAAAAGAGTACATTCGAGATCCACCTCCTTATTTCTACTCCATCTACTTCACTTCTATCACTATATCCGCCCTATGTGAGTCCTCAAATGGTTAAGCAACTGCAGATGAATTGCGCAACTCTTTTTATTCTTGTCTCAAGTTTCCTCGTTCACCTGAACAGATTTTCTTTCCTTGCAATATGAGGTGGAAGTTGAGCAGGGATTTGTGGAATACAAAATTCACAATATACGTTTTTCCTCAAATAAATAACATCCAGACCATCGATTTACTCTTCATAAAGATTATTTCAGTTCTATATACTTAAAATTTTTCTTAATCACCTCCTTGTTTCATACTTATTGTCAGGCAATAAAGGTGAAATTTCCACCCACGCGGAATTCTTTAAATACTCACATTTTCCCCCCTAAAACCATTTTGAAGGAAAAGTGAGTGTTGTGCGGTGTATTAAGTATGATACTTTTTTCCATTCATTCATTTGCTCGCTGTGCAATCTCTCCATTAAGCAGGGATTGAAAGAAACACCCCAAACCCCTTGGCACTGAGCGTGAATACAGAAGAAGGCAGTCAATTTATAATATCATATCGCCTTTTGAGACGATTTTTTCCTCTCCATCTTCAATTCTCGTCCCGCGTATTTCCTATTACACCCTCCACGATACCCTTTTCCCGAGGATTTTCCTCCACCAACATCATAAGCATTTTTCCCCATTCATTATCATATACTATTTATATTCGCACTTATATTTGTCCCTCCACGTGATTCCCACTTTCTCCCCCAATGCGACGGGTCCGCCCCAGTGGGAATATGAATTTCTCTTTTCTTTAATGTAGAAAAATTCACAATAGCAAGCGCTAAGGCGTCTGTAAAGTGAAATAATACTGCAATACAGGTGAGACGGGATTGGGAGAGAAGAGAGAGGGTGTTTCTTTCCTTATAAATCGTTGTCAATTATTGATGATGAAGCATTTTCTTTAAGGAAATTCAATTGAATATCGCAACGGCACATGAAAAATGTCAATATATGAGAAGCTCGGAGGGAGAATGTCAAGTGAAAGAGAATATATATCATTTTAAATAGAATTTGCATTGATATTCCTCCTATTATTCCCACCCATCCCGAGAGTCTTACCTTGCCACTCTCGCCGCAATTTTTCTTTAGACATCGCGCGAGTCAACAAAAGAAATGACTGCGAGGACGGTAAAAATTAATTATTGCAACATTTCAATTTAATAGCTTCCTCTCTCCCTGTCAAAAGACCCTTTGCACGAAAGGAGATTTTTCATCACAAAACACTTTCTCATGATGATTCCCGAAAGTCAGTTCTTTTGTCCAAAAAATATATATATCACAGCTTCATTTTAATGCCGATTCCAGCTGAAATTTTCATTTTTTTCCCCTAATAAAATTCTATAGTTTTCGTCTTTCCATTCGCCGGAATGCATTTCCTGTTTATACATTTCTAAGAAGAAAAGTCAAAGTTATTCACACAGACACACAATTAAAAGGAAAATAAATATTACAAGACAATAAAAATAAAACACAAGTGAAGGTGTAAAATAACACAAATCATAGATTACTATAGATAAATGATGTGATGTCTCTGAGAGAGATTTTACAATGTATAAATTAGCTTTTTTTTTATCTCAGCATAATGTTTGTATGCAAAGTACTGTTGTTGTTTTTTTTGGTTTGATACAATTATAGAAAAAAGACGTAAAATAAAAATAAAATAAAAACAATGTATTAATAAATACAGTAATAAATTGTGCAGACGTACCAAAGAGGGTAAATAGAGCATCAGGCGTGACCATCTACAGAGAGAAAGAGATCAGTTAGCAGAGTATTTTTATATATATATCAATTGTTATCAATATATATAATAAAATGTCTTTTGGACCAACAAATAACAAAAGATATGGGAAAAATAGGGTTATTTAGAGAGGAAGACAATTGGGGGAAAACGCAAAGGATCGTCCAACGAGTGATTGTGCTTCGACTCAAAAACTGTGCATTTCCCATTCAACTGGACTCTTTTCGCAGGATAGAATCCGATATCCAGGAATAGATAACAGAAAACTTCTGCAAGGGACATTATTGTTACACGCAAAGTAAGTTTCACGTGTTCTATTTTAAGAGTTCTTTTCTTATGAATTATAAACAGGATAATTATATGACATGGAATCAAAGTGCTTAATTGGGTGTTAACTTTATAAAACTGTTTATAAACTTTCCGATAAATTCTTCTAATTACAAAATTGAAGGAGTGAATTTTTCATATCAACCAATCAAGTTAGTCTGACGCAATTACTGAAACCCATTTGTGATATTGCATCAGAAGATGGCTTATTGGAAATTTGCTGGAGGGAATAAACTGTTTAGTTGAAGTTTCCTTGTAATGCAGACTTTAGAAAGTTTGAAGGTTGCATCAGAATGACGCCCCTTTTGTCAATGAATTTTTAAATCCCGGTGAAGAAAGTCCCTTCGATCCTGCCTGAGTGAATTGATGCATTTCACGATAAGATATGCAGCATTCTACAGTGAGAACCACTTTGGCATGCCACAAAGCCATTAGTGCTGCTCAAAAGAAGACTTGGACTGAAGGATAAAGTGTCAGATTTGCCGGTGGACAAAGAGAGAGAGAGAGAGAGAGACTGTGAAGCAAGAAGAGCAGAGAGGTGAGGATGTTGGAGTGAATTTTTATTATTCATCCAATTTCTACTACTTTTATTTCACGTGTCTCTTCAGGGTGAGTTGGCCAGGGAGTGTCTGTGGCACTCAATGGTGGTTTTTGGCTGAAGTGGATTATTTCATAAGCTTTGTTTAATTAAGGAGCTCCTGAGATAGTGACATAGAATGACGGTGTGGTATTGAATTTGCATAACTAGTGACTGGAGTGTTTCAGTGCAAGTGAGCAAATAGAGCGAGAAATATTCAATGGCAGAGAAGAAGCGGGCGAAGAGCTATATTATCTATAGGTCTATGAGAGAAGGAAGATGACAGAGTTCACGATGGTTTGTGTGGTGACAAAAAGGGGGGAAGAAGGACTTGATTGGGAAAATAAACATTTTCCCTTGTGACTTTTTGCTGCCTTTTGTGGACAAACAAATGTCCTCCTTCCACAATCCCTCCCCATCCTAAAACAGTTTTCTGTCGAGTAATTAAGTGACAGAGTGACAAATCTAGTTCAGAAAGAAAGAGACAGAGAAGAGAAAAAAAGCCCACCACAAATTGTGGCATAGTTTGGACGGTGGAAATGCTCGATATTTAATTCGTGTCTAATTAAACGAGGCGAGCAATGTTGGGTCCCACAAGGAGATTTATTATTTTCCCAAAATTGATGCGTGAGTATTCGTCCATTGCATGAATATTTTATTAGGATTTCACCCGCGGATGACAATGTCAATTCGAGCGTGTCGCATTCTCCCATGGAGAGCGTCCTGAGGGTGGCTTTTTAGTAGGTGTGCTCACACATTCCGATCAACACCACATGAATTTAGAGTTGTCCCAATTTTGCCCAAACCTTCATTGAATTACAATAATTTTCACCCGAATTGACAATAATTGCGTGGGATTTGGCCGGTGGGCAAACAGAATTTCGACTATACATGAGGGACAGAGAGCTTGTTTCTGCGGTCCAATTGGCCACAGTTGCACAGAGATTTCACCTTTTTCTTCATCGCCACAGCAATTACGAGATGTGGAGGCGGAAAATGTGAAAATTGTATATATATGTACAAATTGCGACAGACGCGAATCGAAGAGTGAGCTTCAAAATCGCACAGGATTGATGGAGAGAGAGATAAAATGAAAATTCAACTTTGTCATTAACGTAGAAAAAAAACCAAACACAAACATAGAGCTCAGAGGAGAGAACAAAAAAAAATAACAAAAAACAAATCTCAAGGAAGAAGAACCAAAAGCATAGAATAGGGGTTTCGGATGGTGGCAAGAGACTCACAAAAACTGCACCTTACCTCTTCATTCAGGTTGGACACGAGAAGCACATTGGAGAGACCACGCAGGGCAGGTGTGGCGTTGCCCAGAGCACCGGTGGAGGCCAGAGCGAAAGCTCCCAGGCTCGGCAGAGCGCCTCCGTAAGCACTGGCCAAAGGCGTTCCCAGGCCCAAGGCGAATGGCGGCAGAACTCCGGGCGCTCCCAGGCCATTAACTGCTGCATTAGAAGAGAGTGCATGTTAAATTTTACACAATGCCAAAGTGTGGCTATAAATTTTGCCAGCTTTGCGTATATGCATAATGTTTTCTGCTGATAGATATAACTGTGGTAATGGTTGAGGAAGAAGTTTTAGTTTTGCTCAAGATGCTTATGCTTTTTGAGAACATCTTCAGCAGGGCGGAATTCTTCATTTCCGCTCTTTTGTATCAAATATGCATCTGTATTATATACTGGAAGATTTACAAAATGTACAGATTTTTGTGTTGTTTGAAAATTAAAGTGTTCCCAATTCGTATATAAATAGCAAAATCAAAAGACAGTGAAGTGGAAAGTTACCTAGTCTATCACCTGTCAGGGCTGGTCGCCTCTGGGTGGCGAGCAGCAGCAGGTCGCTGGCGTTCACCAGGCCTCCGGCACTCGCGATGACCTCCGTTCCTGGCTCACCCGGCGGTAACGAGGGATTGGTGAAGTCCCGCGATTTATCATTGTTGTACTTGACATTTAGTGCCGTCAATTTGCTGTTGTCGATCCTCAGCGTGCAGCATCCGTTGTAGATATTCTGCCCATCGAGGACTGTCTTTGCATGTTGAGCCGTCTGAGCATCGGGATACTGAATGAGAGCCTGCGGGCGACACGACAATTGATTACAAAATCAATATTACTGCGAGGAAGGAGCAAAACTATGGCTCTTCTCATACTCACTTGGAATGAATTATTTTTCGTAAACGTAACGATTTTTAATACTTTTCCAAATCTCTGGAAAATCTGATGCAAGATGTCAAGTGAGACTGGGTAGACGAGTGATTCTACAATGACCCTGAGCACAGTGTTGGGACCCCCGCCGCTCGACGTGGAGTTCTGCACAGCCTGAGATGTGGGATCTGTCCCGGACACGGGCAGGGGTGATCCACTGGCTGGCGACTGGATCTGAAAGTCCTGGTTCTGCAGCGCCGCCGATGCACTCTGCAAGCGTGAAGAAGCTTTGAACGACATAGCGACAGTTTTGTCCAGGACGAGCCTGGGTGTGTTGAATTGAAAGCTCTCTGTGTGTGTGTGAAAACTATTATCAATTGCAGCGACGTCCCAAGTTGGGGACCCGAAATGAAAACAAAGCGATATGGATGTTGACTTCTCCCAAATCTCAAGTGAAATTCACTGAAATTTCTCAAAGTAGATTGAGAAGAAAAATGCTTGAGATACACAGAAAGGTCTGCTTCTGACAACCGAATAAAGATTAATGAATGTGATTTGATGGGTGAGAATGTCTTGAATCCTGAATTTGTATACATTGATTCCATCGAGACTCTCTTCCTCATCGTCTCCCCTTCGACCTAAATAGCCATCCATTGAAAGTATAAGATCGGAAGATGGCTTTTGGGGTGAAGTCCATTGGGAAAAGTCGCACAGACCTTTCAATTGGGAAGATTCACAAGTTTCCGGATTGACTGAATACTTGATAAATCTCACTAATTTCGCCACACATCGCTCAATATTCTAATAATTTTCACACTTAAGTGTTGAAGCAACAGCAAATTAGGGTGTTAAATGTATTTTTTAGAAAGGATCAGAAACAACTGCACATACCGCTATTGAGTGGCTCTGGTCGGTCTTGAGCTCCCGATGATTCGAGAACTGCACGTACACCGTCCGGCCGCGCACCTGTGGTGGATTGGTTGTGAAGCAGGCCACCATGGCGGCTGCAGACACCTCATCGGCCATCTCGAGGAAGGCCTGATTTTTCCCTTTCAGCACCAGAACATTGGTCACACGACCAAATGCCACCCCCAGCTGAACGACCTCCGCCTCACTGGACTCATTCGGTATGTTTCTGATGTGTATTACACGGGATGGTTTTCCTGTGGAGCAATCACATGCACTTCAGTACACCACATAAAATATCTACCCCTGATTCCTGACTATTTCATGAGTGCCGTAACAAAGTTGCCAAGTAGAAAATCCGATATCCCACCATGAAATGAATAAAAAAAATTCCACGAAAACTTGCTGGGTGCTGCATAATGGACAGTGGGAGTGTTAGTTTGAAAGACAGCTGAACAAATTTCAACCCCTCACCATTAAATATGCAGATGTGTGTGAAAATGCAAAACAACTCCGCAGTCATTAGAATATTTCTATGCAATATTTACTTCACAAGTGAACTGAAAGTGTCTAATCGTGACAATCACTTGCCCAAAATTCTGTCATTTCTCTGTCTCTCGCGGTAATTTTATTCGATTTGACATATTATTGCAGTCATACATAAATTATGACATTTACTTTTGATAAACATTGCGTACAAATGCACCACGAGGACAAGTACTAGCTGGATGTTCAATTAAATGAAAAAAATATTGAGGTCTGAATAAGCAATGGTTAATTTATAATCGTAATACCTCAATTAACAATCACTTCCGCTCATTTAAATTAACAGTATTAAATGATAACCATTTAAAACAGCACCAACCAATTTTCAACCTCTTCTAAAATTTATATCAAGCCATTATTGAAATGGAAATTCGAAATGTTAATCGGATTTGCGTAAAATTTTTAATACTTGCATATTCATGCATTTTCAATGACTCTTTTCAGGCCAAAGTAAGAGTCTTTTTGCAGTGAAACTCTTGGAGAATTCTCTTTAATTTACTGTATTTTAGTAAAATGTGTTTGAATTGTGGGGTAAAACTTACATTCCCATAGTTTAAGTTTTGATAAAGGAGCTTTTAGGGATTCTAAGACACTCACCAACACCACCGAGGACTGTGTTCGTTTCCAGCTTTGCTTTTTTGCTTGCTAAATCCTGGTTATTGTTATCAGATGCAGGCGCCATAACAGCTGCTTGACTCAGTAGTTCGTCACTACCTCTCTGGAAAAGAAAGGAAAGATCATTCGCCATTCAGTATAAGAATTTCATACAATTCCAACAAAGATTCGCCCATGAAAAGACATGTAAAATCACATCAAAACGTTGTGGGTATTCAGAGAAATATTTTCATTTGATTCTCATCCCGAAAGTCTTTAACAAAACATTTTCCGTACATTGAGAGAAAATACCACATTGTTATTATTTTCAATAAATTTAACGTATTACTATATGTACTTTCACGATGAAAGAAAATGTTGTTGCATCATCCGAAGGAGGAAACATTTACCATACATTGGATATTCCGTACTTCCGCCCTGGCACAAAATTCCCTTTCTCTGGGTATTTTCCCTTAACATATTAAGACCTGTCTGTCGAAGTATCTATATAGTTTCCCATTCACCCTTCGCAAAAGCACACATGAGGGTTTTCTGTGAAATAAAATAGAGACAATACACCATTCTTGCCAATGGCCTTGCTCTTTCTTCATACACAAGACGTAAAATGTCACACAAATTTACGAATTTCAGATACAAAATAATATTTTTTAAATTTTCTTCAACCCTTTCTTAAAATCTGATACTTTGTGCATATCAAAGACTGCACAAAAGGATCTTCAGATGAAATTATAGATGATAAAAGTTAAATAACGAGTCCAAAGTTGCTTGATGAATGGATTGGAAGAGAGCTTTTAGGTCACAAAAAGCCAGTAAAAGAGTCGAAAGGTAAAAGAGTATTATCTGACTACTGGGAACTATCAATCATTCACTGAGTCGCTATGTTGACAATCATATAAAATATGCATCTGAAGGGAAAAGTCACCCGCATTTTTACCTCCTGGCAATGCCAAAAGGAGTCTGCAGAGAAATTTTGCAACAATCGAACACACAATCTTTTCTTACTCCATCGACAATTTGAGGTTGCGATTGACGCTATATACGTGAAATGATGAAGTGGATTTTTCCGTTTTATGATTCCCTTCCCTTCGTCGAGAAAAGGAAAGAAAAAAAGAGAGAGAAGAAGTGAGGAAGAATGATTTTAGATTGTACTTCTGAAACTCCGTATGCAAATCCTCAACCTAAAAGCTCTCCGTGAAATTTTAATGCGTAGAATCTTTTGCAAAAATATTCTCTGTGATTTTCCAAGAGTACACACGGAAGATTTTCTTTATTAGAAATTTCAAAATTTAATTTAAAGGATTCCACATTTCATCGTTGCTTTGACGTGAAACTTTCCGCACGAAAAAGTGTACGTAAGACAAAAGACTTCTTTTCAGTCTGGCTGCTTTCTAATAAATTCTCGTCTGTCTATTCACTCAGAAAAATTTGTGTACAAATAGAAAACTCTCCCTCTCTGTACATTTCGCACATATTTTAACTTTATTTCATGGGGAAAAATCCACGTATTTCACTTAATTTGACTGAATGTTACACATGTTATTCAAAAGAATGACACGCAAATGTTGAATGTGTTTGTTTTCAGATTAAAAAAAAGTCCATTACAAGCTATTAGAATTTAAATTTTTCCACTTCTATTGAAAAATTCATAATTTAGAGATGACTCAATAAATGCAACACAAGTGCAATATAAATTTGACAAAGAATCGAGAAAAAAATACATTTAACTTTAATTGCTGCATTGAAAGGTGCTTTTGAAAGTAATTTTGTAAAGTAGGGAAAATATGAGGAGAAGGACTCTAGAAGTGAAATCAATGGGGAACAAACTCACAAATAGCGAGTGAATTAATTCCATTTGTATTTTCTTTTGCGCCCCATAGTTTCCCACCCTGAGAGCTCGGGTGTATTTGCGTGAAAACTCAATTTCCCTAAATGGATTCGCACGGAAGGAATACGCGCGAAGGAATTATTGAAAAGTTTTCATTTAGAGATACCTTCGGGGCTGGGCGGCGCGCGGAGAAGTGATTTGGGTGGGTTTTGTCACAGAGAGAGAGCGAAATACCCGCGAAAGGCTCTAGTTTGCTGGCAAATTGAATTATTATACAATCCATACGGTAATGCCATGGCGAAAATGTACATAATGGCACTCACAGTGGCATTAGCTGATGGCTTTCGTGTGGCTTTATGCCGTGCCAAACATTTTCGGGGTGTTATTCGTGAATTTTGCCACTTTGTGCGAGAACACGAGGAGGATGAGCACATTAACCACTTGGTGGCTTGCAATTTGAGAATTGCACAGCATTTGGGGTTGTCGTGGAGAGAGAAGGATGGCTCTGGATGTACAATAAATTCTTCTCTGGCTCTGCCCTGCCTCGTGGCGCGCAATCTGTTCATTGAAAATTGATAATTAAGATTAATCATTTAATGAGTTCAATTGCGATAATTGCTCCACATGGTGGATCTGCTCGGTTGTGTCTTTTGGCAAAGTAGAGCGCGCACCACAAACACAGTTAGGAAACTTGGTGAAAATACGACAAATTAGTTTGATAGCAATTTTCAAGCTGTGCAGAGTATTTAGAAGTGTCCCTTGATAGTGCATAAAATTACTAAATTAGAGCATAACTATGAAGGGTATTGATAAAACTTGATGTTTCGCCAATATATGAATTCCCTGTAAAACATTCTAATGCTAAACATTTTCCAAATAACTCCCAAAGCAACTTGCGTTTTGCTTACGATGCAAAATTAATTTAGAAACTTTCACTCCTGCGAAGGGAGAGACGAAAAGTCAATAAGACATCGTGTTTGTGAAAAAAAAAATCTTCCTATTTTATATGACAAATTCCTCTGAGCAATAATTTTATTAATATGTACTCTTCACCACTTTTCCCACAATATCGCTCATAACTTCAAAAACATTTCGTGGAAGAGGAGGAATGAAAACAATGTGGGGAATTTCGCTATAAAAGCATTCTGGGCTTCGACATAATATTCAATGTAATGCAGGTAATTTCTACGATGGTGGCAGTGAGGAAAAAAAAGCTCAACGCAAACTTTGACAAAACTTTTTAATTAATTTTAATGAATTAAAATGCAGAAAGAGCAGCAGGGGAGAGTAGTTGCTTTTTACTTCTTGCAAGGAATAATTTTCCACTCACATTTTTATTTATTTTTTTTATTATGGCTAAAGTGAGAGATTGCGTGAAAAATAGAATATTTAATAGAATTCATGTGGTTGCTCTTTTATCTCCATGCAATACAAGAACTTTTGTATAGATGTCTTTACTTGAGGATTTCCATTATAGACAAAACTTGCACTTTACACATTTGTGGTACATTTTTCATTGCATTTTTCCAATTATTTCTCAAAAGAGATGCGCGCAAAGCCATAGAAAACTGTTTACAGTTCCCAAAGACACAGGGAAATAAACTTTAATACAAAACACTCAGCAAATTCATATAGATCTAGATAAGCTTCAAATTTTCTAATTGAAAAACAACTATAAATGTTCTACTCAACTTTTTCCCAATATAAAGTTTATAGACTTAAAAATTTAACCTCATTTCCTGAAGCTTTGGCTGATGGGAAATATTTCGATTTTCTTGAACTAAATTCCATGAACTTTTCGTGGAAATGTTGAAGGAAGAACATCTCTTGGCCTTTCTATTTATAAAATCATCTCTTTGGGAGTAATATTAACTGCCATTTTTAAGCTTTTCTTCCTCGGAAAGCACTAGATACTGACTGGGTAACAAGATCGTAGGAAAGAAGTTGTTTGTATATGTTGAGAATAGATACAGAATTCCCTTTTCGTGTGCCCCATCCATCTTCCCCACCTCCTCGGGAGTGGCTTTGTTTGTGCGCGATAGAAGGAAAGTTGACGAAGATGTTGCCCTATTTACTTACCCTCCCGAGGAGCTCAGAACGAGTATAAAGTTTACTCTAAAAGGTACAGGCCTCGGGGTGAATTTTCAAAGTGATAAGCAAGGTGGAGCATCTCTTCGGTGTGGATTGCGAGAAAAAGCGTGGATAAACATTTAAAATCATTAGTGGTCCCTGTGGCCTGTCGCATTTTTTATGGCCACACTGTGATGGCAGAGCAGGTGATGATGAAAGGTGAGTGTTGATTTTATCTGCCGTAAATTCAATCATTTTAATATCATGTACAAATAATAAAATGATATGAAAATTCTCCTCCTCGAGGTGTGTGTGTGTGTGTGTGGGTTGGGAGACGACAAAAGAAAACGTGAAATAACTCACCATAAAATCTCTTTTCATATTTCATCCCACTCGCATAATCTTTCAGCGCGTCGTAAATTTTTTTCCCTCTCTTGTTCTCACGGATGTTGTCCTTAATGGAAAATTTCCATGGGAGCAATTTCACGTCAACCATATCGTCGGGGCGCCGGTAAACGTGAAAAATGGAGCTCTCGTCGTGAACTTGAACAGCCAAGAAGTGCGCTGTTCTGTGACAAAATCTAATTGACCGGAATTCTCAGTATTGGTTTCCAATTTCACGACACAAGTGGAGGCACTTTGCCACAGTCATCATCATCGTCATGATTGTCAAAAAATATGAGTTGGGCGATGAAGACAGGTCCTCCCGCGCCCCCTTTCCCACCCATCGTTTTTGTCAATTCTCCCCGGATCAATTCCATTTCCACGTACGAAGAAGTGGCTTTTCTCCTTGTGAAAAGTCACCCCTTCTTGCGGGAGTGTTGTGACAGCACTGGAGCAACAACGCCTTTCACCTGCTATTTTCCTCCATTTCCAACCATTTATCGTACAGGGACATGGCTGAGCCACCTCCGAGGCACACAATACGGCCCCATTCACAGCACATCGTCTTAAGAGGCCCTTCAGGGTATTCGCATTTTCTCGAGAAAAGGGGAAATTTGCATCTTCCCGCCGCACACATTATTGTAATTGTTGAGAATGGAGGGGTTCCCCAGGGATTTTCCATTGAAAGTCGGCACAGATGAATTATGGATGAGAGTATCGCATTAAGAGATTTTTATCAATAGAATTTCTCTTGTCGGAAATAGCCTATTAAATTGTCTGTTAGATATTTAAGCCGGAAGGAAGAGCTTCTTTTTTGCCAACAA